AAAGCCCACAGAAGGTCGTGATGTTGGTTTCAACATGCCCAAAGGGAAAGCCACGAGGTTGCGTAAAGAAAGCACATACTGAGTAACACATGGCTGTGGGTCAAAACCAATGGTAGCCTATTTTAGTGGGGATTGGGATGTTCAGGCGGTGCGGGATTCTGACCCATGGCCACAAGCGAGAGGGAGGTTGGCCTGACCAGCTCCAGCTGCGAATGGTGCAGGATGGGCCATCTGCAGGGGTGACGATGACCTCCGCGCTGCCTCTTGGTTAAGGGACTCGCACTTTTCGGGACTGAAGGGGGGGGGGGGTTCGCTTTTTTGAGGGGCCTCCTTCTCGGATGTTTACGGGGAAGCCACGAAACTGGGACCCTGTCCCAGGAGCCAGCTTGGGAAAGGCGAGGTTAAAGTGAGCTAGCTGAAGGAGCGAGCTTTAGGCATCATTTAATTGGAGGGCCGGTTGAAGGCGAGTTGCGCAGCATCACCTTTGGAAGGCCACTTCACGCCAGCTCAAGTCAGAATTGATTAAGTGGCACCCTACCTCCTCTTGGGTGTTCAATTTATGCCCCTCCCCCATCAAATGTACAACCCATCTAGTTGTTAAGTTGGTGGCTCCCAGCCATCCCCTTAGCTTTTTAGCAGTTTATGTAGTTGTAGTGGTTGGGAACCATGTAAACCCACAAGTGAAGCTTTTCGCAGGGGATCCGAGAGCCCAGTTTAGCCGTCGAGGCTGAGCATGGCACTGGACCGGCCGGTGAAGCGGGACCTGGCCATGAGCGGGGAGGCGAACTTCGGGCGGAACGTTCCTCGAGAGGTTTGCTGCGAGATCTGCCCAAATGGGACGTGTCGTTCTTTTTTTTTTTAAAAAAAACAGTTTTTGAGGGTACCCTTTCTGGGGTCATTATTTTGGCGGTTTCTGGGGGTTATCATAGTCAGAAAATGTGGTTGTCTCCCTTTAACCCACCACTTTGGGGGTGACTTTGATCATAGTAAAATAATGAGGCCAGCCTTTTTGGTGGTGCTGAAGGGAAAGCAAAAGGAGAACCACCACTTTGGGCGTCGCCTTTTGAGCCAATGTAAGTCCCTTCGAGGATGATGTAAGGGCACATGTATGGCACTGTTTCTCATTCCATGCGAAGGGCGGATTTCCGGGCGTGTGGTGCCTGGCGTCTCTTCCCTACGGCATGCACCAGGAAATGATGTGTGGCGGGTTTTGTTGTCGATGTCCTGCGGTTCGATTCGCATGCAGGTCACACTTACTGGCAAGGTGCTGCGGGTTGGCGGGATCAAAGAGAGACTTGGTGGCACCTGGTTGTGTGGGCACCGGAAGTGGTCACTAGTATAAGCCTTTGCGAACCACGTGCCACCTTTCAGTTTCCAGAGCATACTCTTCTCCCCTCACCCGGGCCTGCCTGAGAAGCATAGCCGTACCTTAACATAGTCCACATGGCCCCGGCCAATGCAGACTCGTCATGCACTGCCTCGGCATTTCAAAGGGCCCCAGTTTGCATTGCAGTTAGCGTTTGGAAAGGAAAACGCTGGCCGCCAAGCGCGAGAACGTCGACAGACTGGTGCTGCCCATGTCCAATCAGGCGCGGACTGAGTCCAGAAACTCAGAAGCTGGTGGGCCGCTAGTGGTCTCACCTCAGCAGAACAAGTGGGAATGGCGACGGGCCCGTTCAAACGCGCCAAATCATGGTTTTGAACATGATGGTGACTGAAGGATTGCAAACTGCCATTGATGCCAGGCATGTTTGAGGCAAGACGACTCGTCAGAGAGAATCTAGGAAAAGCTCGCTCTGATCCCAAACTAATCCGATTCAGACCCAAGCCAAACCCGACAACCACCAGCGCATCAGTGACCACCAACACCAAACCAATCATGCAGGTGTCGCACAATTGGGCGTTGGAAGAACGCGGGTGTCGCACTGCGATAGCACGACCAGACTGAACATGTCATGTCCTTGCACTGGGTGAACGGAGCACGTAGTTTGACTTGCCGCCTCTCATCCTTCAACTGCATACTCGATCAGAATGGACGGAGATCGGCTGCGCAGGCTGACTACCTGGAGTTGAAGCCGTACCTCAGAGCAGGCAATCTGCTTCCCGTCCGGGGTGTGCAGTGAGAATATCCTGATTGGGTGTTTTTTCCCATTGGGGTGGTTTGTTTGTTGAAGTGGGCGCCCTTGTTGCTGGCTGGCCTTGACTATCCCCAAGCACCAGGTTCTGACAATGGCTACCGCTATCTATTTTAGCCACTAATGAGGGAAAATCATGCCCTGCTTCTCATTGGGTAGTCGTTTGGCATTCAGTAACCCAGACAAGTTGGTGATGTACTTGCATGCTCAACCACCTGATCGTAGACTAGCACGATGCTTGCCCCCTCCCACCCACGTCCTGAGGGCATTTGGATGTTCTCCAACTTTCAACTATGGTCATACCCTACTTGAGTGGGTGAACCGTTCAAGAAGTCCTTGAGAAGCAGGAAGAGCCTAACATCCACAAAAGCCCTTCCTGAAGGCGGAGTTTGCTCTTTTTTTTGGTCGGGCCAACTCAAGAAAACCAACCCTACAAACAGATTCACAAGGAACCTTGCTTCGGGTGGGGGGGGGGGTCGATGTGAGTCTCTGGGAGGAATTCGAATTCCCGCGGCAGGCCTCACGGCTCATTTCGTGGACCACTACGACGACGTGTACCGATTGGCCTTCCAGGATCTTCGCGCTTTGCCTTGGCTTCGCCTTCGCTTCGCCCCTTTCAAACGGCTGAAACCCCTAGCACGGGGCCCCTAAACTGACCAGCTGTGGCAACAAAACAACCGGGAAACAAAAGAAAACACTCCTGAGTTTGTTTGTTCAGGAGGGAGGATGTTTTGGGCTCAGCTTTTTCTACACTTCGGCTCCCGGGCGAGGACACCGGGGCGCCCATGCCGGAGGGCTCGCGAGGCAGCGAGGTGGTGACAGTGGTCACTCCAGAGGAGCGCATTGGAGGGCACCCGTGGAGGGAGATCTGGACGTTGCAAAACCGGCGCCTTCCCCAAAGAAAGTGAAACAACGGCCGGTTGCCAACGGGCCATTTTGTTTGCTTTTGGGGTAGTTTTTTTTAGGCGACTTTGAGGGAGGGAGCGGGGGGTGTAGTGTTTGAGTTGATTGATGTTCTGACCCCCGAAACATGCATAGACCCTGTGAGCTTTTCGCAAGCAGACAATGACACTGAGGACTTCTCGCACGCAAACTGGTAGAAGAAGGGGCCCCACCCATGGGAGGGACCGCACAAATTCCAGCCGAGCTGCAGTCTGTGTGCAGAAGTTTTAGCCTGGCAGCATCATTGCTTTCAGCGTTTTCAAAGCGAGCGCTTGTTTTAGTCGGTTGGTTGCCAAGTGGCAAGGCGTCGTTGAACTTGGCTTGCCGATCGTCCTGGACCTTGGCAGGAAGAGAAGACGCCGCTCATGATGTCACAGGCGCGGGTGGAGAGTCGACTCGGCCCGGAGCAAAAAAGACACGTTCCCGACTGACCATGCAAAACGCTGGATTTCTAGACTCTTTGTTGAACGTTGAGACGTGACAAAAGCTGCACTCAGATCGCTGCGTCTTGAGTCTTGACCTTTCAGGGAAGCCAGGAAGGAAGGCATGCCGCCCGGGCGGCCATTCGGGTGAAAGCCGCAGCCCTCGTCCACGAAGTGCGTCTTCCACCCAGAAAGCCTGGACGTTTCATCTGCCATAGGCATTTCATGAAGCCAATCGCATCCCATAAGGAACTTGACACCTCAAATTTGAGTGACTTGAAACATGCGTGCGCAGGCCACAACAGATGTTCAAGTCTTACATGGGCACATTTGGGGTAACATTTAATTCGCCAGCTATCCTCCTGCGGGAGAACAAAGGGCTCTCTTATCCGCGAAGCAACTGACCGGGGATTTGTGATTGGACGTGGCTGGTTGATTTGTCAAAGTGTTGGGAATCCACCGCGCCATTTGGTTTGAGCTGGGAGGCGACAGTGGCTGACTCCGCTACTGCGGCAGTGTGAGGGGATCGGCAGATGGCTCCGGTGCCCATGTGAGGGTTCCATCAACAAGATCAACCAACCCAGGCGAGGGGCACCTTTTCCTTCTTTTTTCCCTGGGTCAGCCATCAATCAATCAATCAATCCATCCATCCATCCATCCATCCATCCATCCATCCATCCATCCATCCATCCATCCATCAATCAATCAATCAATCAATCAACCAATCCGGTGGTGCTTCATCAGAAATCCCATGACCAACTCAGGCTCAGCTTTCGCTTTGGCGCAGGGGCCATCAAGAATTCATCTTCCGTCCTCATGAGGCCGCCGGAGCAGTCCCCGGGAACAGCGCTCACCAAGCGGCGCTGTGTAGCTCGAGCGCTGGGGGGAGCATTTTTAGATATGAGTGTCAAATTAAACCACCAGGAAGACCGCAGGTTTTAGTCCTTGGTTCCATTTACCAGGGTTCCAATTTGGGTATCTATTTTTGACCCACAGCCATATATTCTGTTGTTCTTTTTGTGGTCCAAGAATGCCCATTTCATGTGCGTGCGTGCCCGCTGCAGTGCAGCAAGACTGGGTGCTTTTTCATGTACCCGTACAGGCCGGCGTGCGGTCCTCACGCCCCGGATCTTCGCGGTGCGTGCACTGCCAAGCGTCTCACCCTGCCAGTCGGACATGATTGGTGGTAAGGATCCCTCGGAAGGGAGCGGGGTATTTGGCGTTTGCAAGTATTCGCCTTTCGGCACCTTCAAGAACTCTCGCCCTCGCCCTGCTCAGTTTGCCTTTGAAGTTGGCGCCCCGGACAGCAGCCGCGACTATGCGAAAAAGGAACACCTTGTGGCACATGCTGAGTCGGGACAGGTGGTGCATCATGGTGTTGAAAGGCGAGGGGTGGGCGCAGTTCACTTCTTGAACTTGCTGTAATGGGCTAGCGCGGGCATGCATGGACCAAGCAATATTTTCTTTGCGGGCCTATATACCTGTCAAGCGTGTTCCTCAGGTACTACGACGGTGACGAATGCGAGCCGCGGCGTAGAAATTTCGCTTGGAGCCAACGGCTTCCTCGGGTCGCCAGCACAGGTCGAGCTGTTCATTCAGCGGTCGCGCATTTTTGCCCAACGTCGCAAGTGCAAAAGGGCCTTTTTCTAGATGGTAGTTTTTGAAGCCCTCCAATCTACTTCCAGTGTTGCAAGGAGGGCAAACAAGCATTGGGTCATGGGGGTAACCATGGGCGGCAACTCCTTTACTCGTGTTCGCCACGGTACTGCATGCCTCCCTTGGCCAAGCCTTGCCTTCACCCTTCATGAGTCCAGGCTCGCTTATGGGTTTGGATGCTCCCATTTTTGTGCAAGGAGTAACCTTTCGGGTCGTAAGGCAAAATCTCCCGTGCCTGCAAGGAAATGAACAAGTTCGACGAGATGATGGCGTTTTGTGCAGCTCGTGCCGCCCGGCCGACATTTAGCTGTCTCTCGAGCTCAGGTGGTGCCAAGCTTCGTCTGAACCTGGAGGGTTTGGTTCCATGCGACGGGATGTGAGGGAGGTTCAGGCAACTTGAACCATCTCACGCGCGCAATCATTCCCCCAAGAAGGAAGCACAAGGGTAATCGCTTCATTTTGCAAGCCCCGTATTTGTCGCCCCATCGCGTCCCGAGGATCCCAACTTTTGCCAAGTTGTTGCCGTGGACAGCGACTTTGGGGTCTTCACCCGGGCGTGGTGCATGGATCCTGGGCGGCAAGCGAGAGAGGTTTCAGGTGAAAGGCTCCTTTGCTTTCTGGGGTGGGTGCCGAATGCCGAAGTGTGTTGAACAAGAGACAAAACTTCTTGATGGGCTAGGGGCAAGGCGCTATGTTTGCTCTCCTGTTGGGCGGCATCTTGGTTTCAGGCACGACGCCAATTGAGAGCCTGTGCTTGTTGCCACTGGCTTTTTAGCATTGGGAGGTTCGTTAAGCGAGGTCCTGGGCAGCCACAAAGCCTGCTTTCTCATGGTTGAATTAGGCAACCAGCTGCCCGGTGCCTTTTGGAATTGTGGTTGACACATGCTTCAAGTGGATGGTTTATCCTGGGCCCACGCTGTTGAGCAGGTTTGTCAACTGAAGAGCCCCTATATAGGAAAGTGAAGCGGGTATGCCGCAAAGGGTGTTTGCACACATTCAAGGGACAGGGGGTTCTTGTCCTTTTCTTTCCCTGGTTCGAACATCACCTTTTGGGCAGGAGCCCTGAAGGAGGGTGCCGGTTTTCGGGTGGGCTTTCACAGCTCCGGTCAAGCCTCGTGTTTGCGTGCGGTGCTCCATTCTCCTTGTCTTTTACCAGCCGAACTGGAGTTTCAAGATCAGATGCAGCGACCGATTTTGTTTCTCTGTAGCGCGTTGCCATCTCTTCCCTTTCGAGGCAGAAATGGCGCAGGCACGGCCAGGGCTGCAAAAAGCGGCCTCGGACGCGCGTGAAGTTCCGAAGGATCAAATGGAGGTGTCTCAAAATACGGACGCCCCTTCCGATTTCCTCCTGCAACCAAACGGAAAGGGCAGACGAAAAGACATTTCCAGAACTGAGCCTTGGGTTTCCTCGGCGCTTGTCCATTTTGGCTGGCCCTGCAATGGGAATTTTGTGGGAGGAAGGGGTGGAAGGAGCGCGGTGGTGGCCCTCCGATGATTCCAAAGCTGCTTTCGCGCCAATGGGCACCCCACAATCAGTTGCTAAAGAATTGGGCTGAACTTAGGCCCAGAGGCTGGAGGTGAAAGACTCATTGAGTTCTGTTCCGCAGTTCTTCACCATTTTGACACTGTTTTTCTCCCCATTTCGTTCGGTGGTTCCCCACTAAACCGGGAACCCCCAAAAAGTTGCCTTTTGCTGCCAGGATTACTGGCACTGGGCAACTGGGATTCACTCACAGGGAGCCCTTTGGCCTTCGGGGGGGAGGGGTTTTGGTCGCACGGTTCTCTTACGAGAGGTGTCCCATGAGGGTGAATTGATTCCGTCCCTGGATTAAAGCGGAAGGGGCCTTTCGGGGGCCATCTGGGTCTCAAAATCCACGTCAGAGGGAAGGGAACTCCGTGGCCAGAAGAGGTTTCGATGGACAGCTTGGCATGCCAGCACTTGCTGTCAGTCCCTGTGGAGCAGATCAGCTGCGGTCTGGTGTGGGAACTGCAGGGTAAGGGGATTTCTGTACAAAAGAAGGCTCCTTTCTTGGCGCATCCAAAGTTAGTGATGCGCGCTGCCTTCCCTTCATTGACCGTTAAGATGCATTTGTCTTGGCAAGAAACGCCAGCATAGGGCCCACGCAACCTGCGTGCTAGCTCTTGGCTTCGAACTGCAAGCCACGCAGGCCAGCAACCTTGGCATCACCACACACTTGAAGCTGCGAGACAAGGAGCCCAAGGGATGTCAAATTGTGGACCCGGGATCTAGAACCAGTTGAACTTTGGTTGGGGATGTTTCTGAAAGGTGAACCCCCCCCACATTCGTCAGCCACGGGTTTACCCATCTTGGGTTCCGATCGGGCCTGTTGTTGGGGGGTCACTCATATTGCGGCCGACTTACGGGAATTCACGGGAGGTGCAGAGGTTGCATCACTATGGCAGGTTGGGGTTCTACTTTGGCGAGCGAACCCAACCTGTCAGTTCAGTGAGCCAGTCACCGGCAATGCAGATCAGATCAGCAACACAGCAACAGATCCAATTTGCAAGCATTAGTCCCAGATCTTTGAGAAACCAATCCAGGCATCCAGAGACACGTCAAGTTCCTTGTCCTCTTGCATGGCTAGCAGCCTCTCCAGTCACAGGGGCGTACATGACCTTAGACTAACACCGGCGAGCTCGCCAGGAGGGGCTCATTCGGACAGGCGCTCGCTTGAGAGATCTGGATGTCCGGGAGATGAAGGCGGGGAGATCTGTTCGGCCGGGACGCTGGAGTTTACCCACCGCGCCTCTCAGGAATCCTAGGTGCGCGGCGGTGGGAAAGAAGCCCAAAGTGCACATGCTCCCATCACTCCCTGCATTGGCTTATGGTGAAGTCATTTGATAAAGTATTCCGGTGTCATTTTCAACACACTACTGGCAGGGTGTTAAAAGTGAGCCAAGGGCCAAGGAGCTACCTGGAGTTGTGCAACTTGGTAGGCTGGAACGATTCGATTTTTGGCATTTCCTGCTCGCCGCTTGGGAGAAACCAGCACCGCACAGCCTACAGCCTGCCTGACCTCCAACAAAGAAAACGTCGCCAGCCCTGGCTCCAGGTCACCACCAGCCTGCAACCCTATGGCTATTTGGTAACGAAACTATGGATTTTTGGCTAAAACTTTGTGGATTTCCATACGCCCCGTTCAAAAGCAACCAAGGTACAACTGAGACACTCCCTACGCAAGTAAAAGCTGCGAGTTGCCTGCGCCCAAACGCCAATAGAAGCAGGTGCATGTTTGCACCTCTTGGCCAGCGCGGATGTCCAAAACGCTGTGCGAGGACAACACTCGGTACAACAAAAGGCCTCGCAGCTGCCAAAACACAGTTTACAAAGCTCCAACTATGGCTGGAGCGACTGCTTCACATATTTGCCTGAGATTTGGGAATTATTGTCCTATAATTATAAAGAAAATGCAAGCCATGAGCATAGGAGAACCAATCAAAACCAGGCAGGTGAAGATTGGAAAGGGATACTCCCAATCATAAATGGGTGCAGCCGCCTTGTTTCACTTCTTTACATGGTTCTGGGTAGACCATTTTCATACCGATGGGTTTTGAGTACGCCTCATAGAACCACGTCGTGTGAAGTCACCCCAGCCTGAAGTAGGCCTGCCAGAGGTGTGTGGCACCTGGTTGGAGCCCAAAGGGAACCCAAGCCGACTGGGGGGAGCCTCCCAAGAGCCCGGGTTGCTTTTGCTTTCTGTTGGGAACCAGCTGTCAAGAAGGGATAGAACAGCTCGTAAAGATCCAAAGTAATGTTGCAGATGTTGCTCAAGCCCGCTTTTGGTTGAGTCCGCGGAAGGAAACATGCCGGCCCAAAGAAGCAGCGAAGCAACATAGTGGGAAACGGCTTGGAGGCCCAGTCGGCGCTCCGTTTTCTCATTCCCTTTTCCTTTCTGGTTTCGGATGGGTGTTTGCATTTCCCCCTTTGGTGGCTTTAAACATACGTTTTCGGTCGAAGTTTGAGTGGGTTTCCTTTGGGGGTCTAGAGTTGGACATGTCAGAGGATTCCACCCCCCCCCCTCTCCGTCTGGTTTCCTCCAAACACGGCCGCAATACAGCAGGGGTCTTCTGGGTCTTAATTAAAGGGAAGCGAAGCCCGCGCCAGGCCTCGCGCGTCGAAGACGTGGCTTCGGTCCAACCAAGTGGTCCTCTTGAAATCAATGGCTTTAAGCCATTGTGAACCCAGCTTTTTAAGGGCCTGCGGTTTGCCATGTTTTGTACTGAACATGTCACATTTGAACCATCACCCTTTTGGGCTGATGTCAGAAAAGTGGTGAAGTGATGTCAGGGGAGTTGGCTCCAAAGGGTTTTGCGTTGGTTTCCCTTCCGGGCGGCCCCCCAAACAGGGTGGGGCCCGGGACCCACAAGGCTTGGGACAAATCGAAAGAAGCGGTTCAAGGGAAACCATCAGAAGGTTCAACTTGAGCATGTTGAAAACCCACCCTTTTTGGAGCCTGGCTTCCCCTGTTTGAAAAAAAACATGTTTGCCAAAGTCCACAAAGATTACCCTATTTCCTTTTCCTTTGGATCAGTGAGCCACCAGGTCAAAGGCACTGATCAAGCCGGTCTTTAACAATGTTACCCCTGTTGGCATGGCTCAACCCAACAATCCTGAGGATGGGTCACCTCCTGTAGCCAGCGGCCGTCATTGGAGGGTATCGTCCCTTCAAACGGCCAACAACAAGTCGGGTGTCCTTTGTGCTGAGGAAGGAGGCACCAGTTGAAATCATTGTGGTGCTCCCTTCCCAGTGTCTCTAATTGCCATTGTGGTAGTCAACCAGGTGTTCCCCCTTCCAAAAATTAACATGATGGTCTTCCCTGATTATATGCTGCCAGGTAAAGCGGAAGCACCACGTCTTGAAAAAAAACTGTTTGCCCTTTTTCTAAGTCAAGCAGAAATCTCGCGTGCCGGAACCAGCCCAGGTGGAGCACATTTTGGCCAAGATCCCGGACAAGGATGTGACGGAGCAGCAAAAAGAGCTTTACTCCAACCCCCACCAGGTCCCTTTTTCGAGCCTTCAACGCGGCAAATGTTGCTGCCATGCTCGCTCACACCTGCCGATGATGCAAGTCAGATGGGGCCCAAGTCGGCTACCATACCCTTACAACCGGGTTCCGCAGTTTGAAGAGCAGCAGCACCATCGCATGTGTCGTCGCTTCAGCCGTTTTGGGAACGCCCAAAAAGGTTGGGGGCCTTAGCTCTCTGCCGCAGAGGCATTCAACGCGGCTCTGCAGAATATCATTTTTGACAGCCGCCCCTCGGACGAAGAATTTGAGGGAAGGCTCAGCCGGCGTTGAAGGCATGTGGCTGCCACTTGGGCCCAGACACGCCCAAGAATTGCTGCAAAAGGACAAAGCTGTGTGCGAACACGCCAGCTAACTTACTTGCCCAGTTTGGCTTCTAGTCACCGGCCAAAAGTTTAAAAGTGATCATCTTTACTTCCATGTCCTTGCCACATGCCTCCTCAAGAGAGGGATTCGCGCTGTTGTGAAAGCCTCGGAGGCGCACGCGTTGCGGGGTTGACCCTCAGGTCATCATTAGGCTAGGCATGTGCAGCTCCATACATAGATTGTTCATTGTTGCCAAGTGGCTACGCCTACAAGATCTGGCAGATTGGGTTGCTCTTGGAGCCTGGTTTTGTTGTTTTGGGGTGGCTTCTCCCAAGTTTAATGAAACAATTGGCAGATTTAGGCAGGCACAGCAGGGAACATTGCTGCTTGCCTACAGCACGCTTGCTACACAGGGCTGGAGGAAACGGGTTGTTGTCCAGAGCTTTTGCCCGGCGTGATGGGAATCTAGGGCCAAGAAGTGCCTCTTACCGGCCAAGAAACCAGCGCCGTGCCCACCCCCCCAAAACCAACAACCAAAAGAGCAAGTGTACCAACAAAATGAACAGATGCATCCCCTTGTTGATCTGAAGGGGCCAGAGGCGGGAGGCTCCTTACTTTCCCCTGAGAAGCCGGCGCGAGAGGCTCCGGCCTGCTGGCTGCCTGGCGCGATCTAGACTCCTCCCGGCAGATGGGAGAAGCTGGACGCCTGGGCCTCGGAAGCCGTTGTTTTCTGCAGAAATGACTTGGCTGTGGTTGAACATTGGATCGCCCTGGTAGATGGATACATGGACTAAAACCTGTGGTCTGCTGGTTCAATTTTACCCCATACCCATTTAATTTGACCAGAAGTTATGTTCACCTCATTGGGCCTGCTACCGCTTGCTGAAATTTGGTTCGGCAAGCCGTGCCAGGTCTTGCCTAGAGCTTGGCCGATTCAATGGCTCCGGGTTCCGGGCCTGAATGATAGGGGTTGAGTCAGTGTCCAGTTCTTTTGGATCACCGCTCTTTCCAAAGGCCGGCCCTTCTCCCTGGTGGAAAGGAGGATCTCTGGAGACAATGGGAATTGAAACCAGCAGATGGCCATACTTGACCCTCAAAGGAGCCTGCATCATGAGTTTGATACAGCAGGCAGCCCTCCCGGCTGACCCAGAAGCAAGGCTTGCTGAACATGAATGCCAGTTCTCCCATGGACTTGTTTGCCTTTGCGACGTAGAGAAGGTGATGCCGTCCTGATCAGCACTGTGGATGATGGATGCTTTGGGCGGATATTCGGACACAAGCTTTTTTGCCATGCCCGCCCTTAGGCAGATGTAAGGAAGTAAGTTGGGTTCTTATTCACCAGGACAGGTTCTACAAGCCACCAGACAGGATCATTTTAGTTCGTTATTCTTTTCCAGGCTCACCTGTGAACATTGTAGCTTGAGGCGAATTCGCCTTGGGGGTGGGTGGATCACTTGGCTTGGAAACTCCAGAGCATCGCCAATCCTTGTTTCGGTGGTATGTGTTGGAGGCACGGCCACTTTCTCGCATCCGGGTATGTTGGGCATGCTTGTTGCGAGCTGATCCTTGAAAGGCAGCCGCGCATCTTGCATAGACCCTACTGCTTGTCAAGATCAGAGGGCCTTCAAGTCCGCGAATGCATCATATGATCCCAAGCCCCCTTACCCCGTCCCCAGTAGTTCCCAAAGCTTCCCAAAACGAGAACACACTAGCATCGAATAACGTTATGAATGGCTTTGCTAGGGAAGTTAGGGGCAAGAGGAGCTCCCAGCTGGTTCGACAGGTGCTTTGTGGTCATGGCTTAGCGTGGACTTATTTTAGGGCAGTTAGCCCTAGCCCTCTTCCATTCTCCAGTGCTATGCGCGAAGCCAGCCTTTGGACCTGGTGGTTTGGTTTTTCAGAAGCCTAGCCTGTTTCCAAGGCACACCAACTGAGCGACCCGAGGCCTCCTATTTTGGACTCATGCCGATGCAGGCAGCGGGACGGCCTCTTGGCCGTTCATTCTCAAATAGGCCCCTTTTCGGCGGTCAGTTCAGAGATTTTAGGCAGGCCGATGCAGGCCGCGGGTCAGTCAATGGTTTTTAACCACCCCTTGCATTTCATTCTAGCACAACCTACCAGCGGCGTCCCATTGGCAGCATACAGAGAAGCGACCGAAACAGTATCTTTTCCTTCAAGTCACCGGTTCCTTGACAGCGATTTTTGCTCAGCTCACATGGCTGCGAATTCTAACAAGGACCCCCTCAAACATGGGCACAATTTCTCAAAGGGTCAGACCCATTTTCTTGTTTTGCGTGGCCCAAAGTGAAGCAAGCCATGGCGTGCATGTCTCATAGCAGGCCGATCTCGCGCGCAAGAAACGAGCGCTGAGGTGTGGAAGTGCTGGGACTTTTGAGCGCGATACCTGCGGTGGAAGGAGCGCAGCCGATCGCACTTCTTCGAGTGCACGGTGGGTGACAGCAGGATGGCACACGTTTCCAGATTTTGGTTTCGTCATCTCCTTAGCTTGGCAAACAGACGGGAGTTGTGCCGTCTACTTTCATCCAAGTGCACTGTGAAGTTCGGATGTCAAGGGGGACCATACCAGCCGGAAGAATCCCCCCGAGTGCCCAAGGTGGAACGCCTTTCAGAGGATCACATGAGAGGTCCTCATGTCGACCTCATTCCTCGGATGTGAGGCTTGGATTCGAGGGCAGTCGACGCAGTGGGGTTTCTTTCTGGGGCCTGGCGCAGGACGGCGAGAAGTTCCCAGTGTGGCATGCGGCAACTGTGCGTCGACAGGCCGGGTGGATGCCCAAGCCTTTGGGGGCCTTCGGTTAGGTGGAGCTTCCATTTGGGTGTGGGTCAAAATTAAACCATCAGGGGACCACAGGTTTTAGTCCTTGGTTCCATTTACCAGGGTTCCATTTTGGGTACCCTGTTTTGACCCACAGCCATTTGGAGCTGAACTGACTGCTAAATCCCCGCACTGGATGGGGGTACGATGGGGATTGGTGCAAAGATGGTGTGGATCACAGGGATCAGTCTGAAGGCAGACCATGGCAGAGCGATAGATCCAGCCCAACTCCAAACATGCTTTGGACGTGGAAATCATCCTGGCCGGCCGAGGTATGCCCAGAGATGTCCACAATGCTTCGTGTTTAGCACCAAGCTGCGCTGGCACAGCCTTTTTTGAATGCTTTCGGAGCTTCTCGGAACCCAAGATTTCAGAAAGGAAGCTCCACGTTTGCCTTTCTTCCACGGCCTGGGCCCCAGCGATTTGCTTTGAGAGAGCAGCAGCTGGCGATCTTGAAGCCCGGCCTTGCCAGCCAAATCCGGGCTGGCTGCTAAAAGGCTCGTTGAATCTCCCCTTGTGAGGAAACCAACAAGTTTCTTCATGAATTTTCTGGAGCGCCTGCCTTGGCAAAGGGGGTTGGTGTCAACAAATGAGCTTTTGTTGGGTTCCCAAGCACTTGGGGCCGGCTCATGGGCCACTGAAACTCACTCCCTGAGGTCATGGACTTCAAGCTTTTTGGAAAGACAATTTTAGTGGTAAACAAAAGGTGCAGACTTTGTGTCACCAGTCCACAACTGAAATGCATATAATTTGTAATAAACAGTTCAGACTTTATTTGGGCCAATCCACTTAGAAAGTGAGAAAACCACCTAGGCTCGTTCCACGTGAGTCGATTTTGGGGCGGGCGGGCGTGCCCGCTTTTGTAATACCAGGGAATTTCCAGGGAACCTTCCCTTCAGGGATTTGGACTATTTCAAAGGAGTTTTTCGGCTGAATGTTCAAAAGGGACCGTCAAGGAACCCGTTCAACCGGCAAGTGCTGGGTGCCCGGCCTGCATGCACCGCGAATCGCAGAATCTATCAGCACAGAAGCGCCAGCTCTCAAATCTCCAGTCTTCCACATAGGTTGCGAAACAGCTTGCTTGCCTTGCCTTATGGAGGGATTCTTGTTCTTCTGATCTACCTGGGTGATGCCATCTTGTAGGCCAGAAAGTGAGTTTCGCATTCGGGTGATGTATTCAAGGCATGAGGAACATAGGACCGCTACGTCCAACAAGCAGCCAATTTGTTGTCACGTGCAAACATGTGAGACCATTGCCTGCTGGCGTTCTGGCAGTCTTGGTTTTTCGACGGGGGCTCTCGACGGACGGTCGTGGCCCCCCAGCCGGTGCAAGTGGAGTTTCTCGCGGCACGCCGCAGCATTTCGGATACACGGGGAAGGAGCTCGAATTTGGCATGTGCCTGGAAGTTGCATAGTCCAAATCCGAACTGCTTTGTGGGGCGAATTTGTGTCCGCAGCTTTGTGGCCCTCCGGCCCTAGGATACTTTTGATCTTCCGGCGTCAGGCGACCGACTGACGTGGCTGAAGACCTGCAGGTCGTGTCGGCCTTGGGTTTCGCTTTGCTTCGCGGTGCTCGGCGCATGTGCTCTAAGAGGCGGCCCGAGCGTTCCGTTTCCCTGGGGGCACCCGTCGCGCACCAAAAGCGACGGGCAGCCCATGGAGCACTGGAAAGAGGGCGTGGCTCAAGAGAGGGGGCCCCCAAACAGATCTTGGTCGTTTAGGATTCCTGTTGAAACAGCCTACAAATCGGATTGCTGATGCGAGCTTACAGCCATGCAACAAGAGCAAGCAATGGCTGAAGTTGATGGCTGCATATTTTCAGTGCTCCATGCCATGGTTGGCCACAGGGTGTGAATTCTTCTTCTAACTTGTCCCATGCCAAGGGCGAGAGCTGCGTGAACGCTTGTTTTGTTGCACAGCACGGGACTCTCTGCCAGTTGCATTGGCCGAAGTTTCAGCCGGCCTAAGCGTTGCCAGTGGGACCTGCAGATGCGAATGGCCTGAAGCCTTTTTGAGGGAGCCACTTTCAGTTCAGGCGGATCAGAACTCGTCCGGAGAACAGGTATTGCAGGCCGAGCTGGAACGCGAAAGGAAGCAGAAATGCGCCGGTCTCTAGCAAGTGTCGGTGTTGTGACTGGCCCATACTTAACTGAGTTAACTCTCCCTTGGGGCTTGCGGAAAAAACGCAAAGCCTTGGGCTGGCCCGGGAGTACAAACCTCTTCCTTTAATCGGAGACGTTTGGGACCCGGGGCGGTCGAGCTGACAATGGCCACATTTGCCCGCCGGGGGCACGTAAACTCGCCCCCGGAGGGACATTCCACGCAGAGCCGTGGACTACGCACAAGGGCGAATAGAGCAAGAGGAAGGATTGGGCCTAGCAGCAAATCCAAAAAGGCGCGCCGCAACCACAGAACCGAGTTGTTCGTTTTCGCCCCCCTAAAAGTGCACGCATTTACATTTCCACGTGAAGGCAGCCTCGATGCTCAAAATCTACCAGAGGGTCTCTGGAGCACAGCCAGCGCCAGGTCCCATGCCGCCGGATCGAGGCATTCAGCTTGCGGGAACGACACGTGCTCAGCAGCTCACAGGTCCCTTGAGTTCCTTCGCTTCCAGAAAAGGGTGCCCGGAAATTGTCGTGGTTTGCCTTTTGGAGATGTCTCAAACGGCCACCCTCATGAAAAGAACAGACGTGCAAGGAACAAAAGTACACGTGTTCTTCGGGGGGTTGGCCGCGCCTCAGCCACATGTTTGACCAGGCATGGGGTAAGTATGGGGTATGTAAAGGAAGACCTTTGGATCTTGTACTCGGGAAGCCTGATCTTTCCGAAGAGATTGAGCAGGGCCAAATGTTTAATTTCCCATTTCGCGTCCAAGAGAGGAACCCTTTAGCTTTGCACTTCCCGCCCGCCGCATGTGCATCTTGGAATGCCGTTGTGGAGATGGAAGGTGGCAGGACAGATAAACCAGATGGTCCCGAACCAAGCAGACAAAAGCCACTTGGACCCTCACGAGGGCGCGGTCCCGAGATCAGACATGACATCCTGACCCTCTATGACATCCCATCAGCTGTTCTTGGGGAGTTTGCAGTGTGCTTTGCTGGCGCAGGCCGCAGGTCTCATGGGCACGGCAGCCTGGACCGGCGCATGAGACATGTGCGGTTGCACTTGCCCCTTGTTTTCCAGTTCAACTCGATACAAGTCGGCGCAACAGCACACACACACACACACATGCAGGCATACACACAAGCACATTCCACATATTGCACACACACATATATATATATGTGTGTGTGTACATATATATATATATATAATACATGTATCTGTACATGTGCATTTGTATTTCTGCTTGTCACTATGCAAGGTGCTTGCATGCATGCCTGAACACATAGGTTTCGTTGCGCAGGGTTCGCCTGTTATCCCTCGGGTCAGGCGCTCCTTTTTCCAAGCAAGGGGCTCAACGTTCCAAGTACCTCAAAAGCGCGGAGCTTTTGTGGTTCCTACAGTAGGCCCCCCGCGTTTGTGATTGGTGGACGCTTAGCTGAAGCGATTGGTCCAGAGGGATTCGGGATTCCTTCCTGGCCATCGGAAAGCAGGCGCAGGGGCAACTGGGCCAATTCTGATCTGTCATGCTGCACGAAGGGCTCTCCAATTTCGGGGAGTCCCGACAGAGACTTGGAGACTCTTTGGAGCCATCACCTGGAAATTGGGCCAGATCCGCCCAGTCCATGGAACTCCCAGGCGTGCGGACCCCTCGCCTGGCTTCTCGCCATGTCTCGGCTCGGGGAGGGAAAGGACGCCCGGGCGTGGGGCGTGGTGTTCGGATCCTCGGGATGGAGGGGCTGGAGCTCCCGAGGGGGCGCTCGCCCCGGGAGAGAGGCTTGGCTCTGGGGGGGTGCCCTGAGATGTTGCATCGCATTCTAAACCCGATACCATGATGCCTGAAACTGGTTGCACAATTGGCTCGAAGTGTCCATGTGGGTAGGGGGAGGGAAGGTATGAGATATCCCGTTTGGTCTTGGCGACCACCTGGAGGATTCCTGGAAGGGCCGAGCACCTAATGGTTTTGTCGGTCCCCCTTTTGCCTATCAGTTGAGGATGGACTTAGGCAGTGGTAAACAATGGGGCCAGCTTTTTCTTGCGGTCCCTTTGCTTTCTACCAGGGGTGGAGGGCCTTGGAGTTTCTAAGCTGGTTTAGCAGAGCAGTAAAATGGTTTTACCGTTTTACATCGTTTTACCGGATAGGTTTGTTTAAAGCGGTGTTACCGTTTTACCTCCGGAACCTATGGGGAGAACCACTAACACCGACCCCACTACCTAACCAGCACAGCGCTTGTGCTCTACTTGAGAGCAACCTTCTGAGCCAGGCTTCTCCTATTGACGCTATTTCTTGGGCTTCCGCAAGCTTCCCCCTCAGCCGAAAGCTGGACTTGCGGTTGAAGATTCCAAGCTTTCGCTGACCATTAATTTGTGGTTTCCATTTCAACTTCTGGAAGAACTGATGCCCCCCCCCCCCCCCTCCCGCTTTTCCCTCCTTAAGGCGGGGCCTATGGGGGCTCTCCCTGAAACTCCTCGTCGGATCTGCGTGCCCGCGCAGACCGCGCAGACCAGTCCCTGCGCTTCGCCCCCAGCCCTACTGGCGATGTGGTTGAGGAGAGCCCTGGAGGGGTGCCTTGCAAAGCAAGGGTTGTTCAAAAAGGGGCCCTGCGGTGCCTGACTTCTCCTTTGTGATGGTTAAAGGGCCCCGCTTTTGCGACCCCCAGCAAATGAAGAGTGCCGCCTGATGGGAAAAGGTGTAGGAGAACCCGGGGCGTCATGTCAATGGAAACGGAAGTCGGTCGGCAGGCATGTACGATTTTTCGTTGGCGTTGTGGTATTGTAAGGTGATGCAGTGGTTTTGCATTTCGAGATGGACTTGCTGCGTTGTTAGAATTTGGAAGCTGATGCGAGCACACACACTGGCGAAATGACTTATAGGCAGGTGTGCTAGTCGTGTTGTGCTGAAAAGTGCCTTTTGTGCTACCCAATGGCAACTATGTTGATGTTACGGCAACCGGACGTGATGCAAGAGAGTTTGGGAGGCTTTGTCGCTTTCGGATCAAATTGATAATTCAATCAGGAGCACAGACCATCAAGACCATCTACTCTGGATCCTACGGGCAACAAATAATGGGTGTATTTTCTATTTGTTCAGGAAGGCCTGGAAGTTCGAGTTCTTCCTGAGTTTAGCAGTGTGCTTCTACATGGGTGTCCTTTTTGAGGGGATGCCTCAATTGTGGGGTTTTCCTTTTGGTTTCCAATAAAGGGTACCTTGCGGAAACACACACACGCCCCATTTTGTGGCTCGAAAGTTAACGCAATTCCACACTTGACTTTCTCGGTCTTTGGCACGGCTTCTGGTCCAGAAAGGGAAAGCCGGGGTCCAGGTGAATAAACACGAACTGAGCTGTCCCTTTCTAGAGCGCACTGTCCACTCGAAATCAAGGATTGTTGGAAAGCTGTATTTCCCCCAAAGCAGCACCCATTTAAAAGCGCGTGCCTTGCCGATTCTCAATTTGTGTTGCTTGCTGGCGTTTGTAGTTTGAGCGCTTTAGGCACCAAGTCGGCCCCCGTGGCTTGTCCCGTAGGTAAAGCCGAGGATCTTGCAGGAATTCCAGCCCCCAATTTCTTGGAGGCAGCTCCAGCTCGAAAGCTGAAACTATTCAGTGCAAGCGCAGTACGCAAAGCGCACCTCCGCAGCTCCAGCTTGAAAAGTTGCAGCTACTCAGCGCAAGCCAAGCGACGGCAACAACGGGGTTGCTGGCCCGGGCCGGAGTTGGCTGGGTGGGTCTGCAACGAGGTCTGTAACGGCGAGGTGTGTAACAAGGCATAGCACAAATGGGGGTTCTTTCTTGAGGCCGGCTCTTCATGCACTGCTCACTGAGAGTTTGGCTACGCATCGGGGTTTGCAACGAGGGGCATGTTCATGCAAGGTGTGTAACGAAGGTATGTAACGAGGGGGACGCAGCGGGTCTTGTTACAGAGCTCTGCAACGAGGTCTGTTACGAATGTTCGCCGTGGCTGTGTTACAGACTCCTCAAACAAAATCACTGCCATACGTGTTTGTTTTTGGCGTGTCTGGGTATACCGCATTGCGCTGCTGATACGTTTTCCCGTTTCACACCTCCGTAACAAGCACCCCCATGACAACAAGATTCGTGCCACGCGCGCGTTACGTACCCTCGAAAAAGTTCACAGCCATATTAAAGAAGGCGCGCCAGTTGCATCAGGGTTCATAGGGTTCTATAGCCAAAGCCCAAGGACTTAGTACCAGTCAGAAAATCGAGCGTTTGGCCGACATGGCCGCTTTGCAAGGCAATTACAAGGGGTTGCCTACTCTGGTTCCAGTGAGTTGCCGGCTGCACCCCATCAAAATCTGAGGGCTTCATTCATCCTGGGTTCTCCTTCGGGGGGTTTGTGGCTTCGAAGCAAGGCAGGCGCGCTCTTTGGCGCCTTGTTTTTGGACTTTGAGGATTTTCCAGAACCACCAAAAGTTAAGCACTTTTTGCAGAGGGGGTCAACAGCCACCAGGTGTTTGGGCGCAAGAGGCCACGTTGAAAGGCCTCCGCCCCAAAGGACGCGAAACCAACCACGGATCCAGACACCAGGTGCTTGCCGAGCTCCCGGACTTCCGGCGCCGGGCCTTCACCGAGGTCCACGCGCCGCTGGGATGGTCGGAGTGGCGGGAGGTCGGTTTGGGCACCCTGCCACTTCGCCCACTCTGGTAGCGCAAGGCCGGTTTTTGCCACAACCCCTGCGCAAATCAGAGGGTTGTTTTGGGGGGTTAAGAAGGGCCTGGCATGCCGGGAACTTTTTTTTTCTGGGGGGGAAGCCCTTTCAAGTAACGCCAAGCAAGGCCCTGCAAGAAGACATACGGGGCATATGCCTCTTGTGTGCCAACACCCCTCACTTGGGGTTGGGAGGGGTGGTCATCAACCCTTTACCAGAAAAATCAGAACCATGTTGCAAAGATGGAACAAGCTGCGAACAAATGGAAGCTGACGGTATGTGGCTGGCTAATCGACACTCCTCAGTTTAGAAGCCTGGAGCCAACAGAGGCCACGTTCGCCGAGCTGGACAAGTTTAAACACTCAAAGGGTTGAGAGAGTTGTTTCCTGGTATGGTGACAGTAGCAACACTTATAAAGACTTAGCAGTGACCAAGTCTACCGCAAGGCAAATGAAACCATTGAGGGAAATGCACCAGAAGATTTGGCCATTGATTGAAATGCTTCATGAGAAATGGCTCAAGCTCCGTGGTCGCAGCATAAGCTGACACCACCCGCAACATCATGCAAGATTGAAATGCATGAGAACATGTCAATCTGGTGGCGGTCGCATTTCTTGCCGTCCTTTTTGATTCACACATCCGGCCTAGGGATTTGATTTCCCAACAATTCCCAAGGTCAGAGGGTGTTTCTGGTCAAGTTGAGTTCAGGGGTGATGTTCCAAGGGAAAACGCAGGGGGGCCTGGTTTGGCCGTCCAGCGGCCCAGAAACCCAGAAGCCGGTGTTCCTGGGGGGGCGGGGGGGGGGGGTGGTCGTAGGCGAGGTTTCCTCCCCGAGGCCCGGGCTGCGCCAGCGCGTGGCGGAGCGGATCAGCAGCGAGCTGCCGCGGGAGCCGCGGGAAGGCTCCGCTGAGACGGTCGCGTGGGATCACTCGGGGCTTTGTCCAGCCGCTGTGATACTTTTGGGAATCTCCCCCCTTTTTTTTTTGGGGGGGGTTAAAGTTAGCCTTTGGGCCTTTGTTTTGGAAGCCTTATTTGTTGTATCACCGAAGTGGTCATTTCCCACAGGCCTGGTTTGTAGTGATGGCCCATGTGCCACGGGTTTTACCGTATTGGTCTTGTGCGCGCCAACAAGGGTGGCCTTAAGCCAAAGGGAAAAGAGGCCCAAACCCTTGCTCCAGATGAGCAAGCAGCCGTCCATCTCTTTTTTGTGCCATGCTGAGCAACTGCGATGGGCTTGTGCTTTCAAAAGCGTGCTTTGAAAAATTTTACCCTTTGCAGGTTGAAAGGGAACCAAGGAGGTCCAAGTGTTCTGACTGTTCGGGGGGGGGGGTAAAACGAGCTTGCCGTGATTAAGGTTCCTTTTAATTTCCAGGTTGTAAGATGCAAACAAGTTGTAGACAGCAAAATGCCACAACTGGGTGCTACATTGACATTTTGGTCGATTTTATGAAAAGATTCCCAAAGGGAAATATTTGCCGCCCTCAAAATAGGCCGCAAAGGGGATGTACGTCCTCATGTGAAGCGTGTCCTCCCACATCCTTCCACCAGCGCCAAGATTGTTGAGTCCCTTTCCTGTCAGTTCGTCTTTGATTTGCCGTCTTCTTTCCACTGCAGGGCCGAGCGTCATGAAGACCGTGACCTCTCAAATTCGGGGCTTCTACCTGGTGAAGTTTGCGGTGTCTGTCACCGCCTGCTGCGCAGCTGCACTGGCATGGTGTGGTTTTACGGTACTTTTGGTTTAGATCTTGCACCCGTGGCCTCATCTTTCTCATTTGATTTGTCCACTAAAAATGGGCCCGAACCCACACATAACACCGGCCAAAGGCCGCGCCCAAAACAACACTGAGAGTTTCTGAGAAAGCTAGGGCTCTCAGCAGGTTGCTGAAAACCTTTCGGGTGGTTTGCCTTGTCCAGGCTATCTCACGATTCAGCTTCTGGTGACCTTTGCAGAGGCAAGGTGGATTCGAGCCTGCCCGAACATGCCAGACCTCCTTACTCACTCCCAAAAAGCACTTGTTGGAAAGATGTAAATAACTAGTCCAGACCTTTTTTGGCCAATCCACTCAGCAAGCGTACCCTGAAATTCCACTTACAGGATGGATGGGTTTCTGGCGCCCTTCCAAAGAAAAGGACTCACGCTTCCCAAAACGCGGTGCGTACGGGTGCTTGCCATGGAGGAAGTTGCTTGGGTTCAACATGTTCACTTCACGGGCCCGCGCAGGTATGTGTTTGTTTGTTTGCTTGCTTGCTTGCTTGCTTGCTTGTTTGTTTGTTTGTTTGTTTGTTTGTTTGTTTGTTTGTTTGCTGCAAGGTGTGGGATGGAAAGAGTTGGCCTTCTGCCGTTTTGTGGCAGGTGCTGCTTCCTTTCATCTTTGCGGTGCTGGTGATGATTGTTCTGGAGCCGCTCAAGAAGTTCGTGATGCGGGTTCTTTGCAGGCTTGCCGTGCGTGCCTTGGGCAACAGCAGTGGTTTGCGGCTTTCGGGCGGCCTCCAGGACTCCTGGATGACCAAAACGGTGAGGTCGCGTTGGCGGAAACTTGCACACCGAAGGAACGCAACGACTTTCAGATTGTAGCACCCCAAGTAGAATTTACTGTGCTTTGGGCGGTTTTTGAATGGTCCCAACATCGAAATCTACCGTTTTGATCTTTGTTTTTTGGGAGCCTGCAGCGAGTTGATATCCCGCAGAGCTTTAACACATCTTTCAGGATGATGCTGAATCCTCCCGCCAAACAGGACAACAACAATGCATGTCGCTGTCAGCTTCAGGCCTTTTCCTCTTACTGCGGCTAGACTTTTGCGTGGACGGGCAGAAGATGTCAGGCCCGCGGCTGGGTGTTGGACAGGCAAGCAGGGGAGATGGCTTGTTTATCTACCAGGGGTCCTTGTCTTGTCAGAATTTATTAATGCTGCATCTCTGTCAACGTTTTTTCCCCACATAGTCTCAACGGTTGCAGCTTCATGGCCGTTCGCAGTGGCCAGTTTACACGTGCTTGTTAAGTTGTGCATTGTGCTTGCAAATTCAGGCCCCCTAGTTGATTTCTAGCTGGCTTGTTGAGAGCAAATCGGCCTTTTTGAGAATCTGGCCTTCTGTTTTCCAGCAAGTACAGCGAATGGTTCTTCTTCAAAGAGCAACTGCTCAATGTCATCGCCTGCAAATAAACCGTCTCCATACCACTTCAATCATATAGCCTACTCTACACTGCCGCAGCTCAATACCACGTCTCAGCATCATTGTCACGAACAAAAACCATATCCCACTGTATACTGCCACTTTCATGTCACTTGTCAGGTCGGGTACAAACAACCCGAGTGTTGTTTGCGTTTGATCTTGATCCCGGAAGAAGCTTTTGCGTAGATCCCGGGGCAACGCAACTTTCGGAGTACAGACGCGCCATTCACAAAGAAAATTCAGAATATAGTGGCGTGAAATTCAGAAATCAGGAACGAGACATTTAGAATACGGGAGTGCGAACCTCAGAATACATGAGAGCGAGTTCTTGCTTTGGCCGGATTTTAATTGTAGGTCGGGCCATGTATTGAACACAGAGATGGCACATGCATTCCACTAAAAGACTATTGACCATTGAGTTGAAATCGCTTGGCCCTGTTCATCAGTCGCTTCTTGTTTCGTTTGGAACATGGGTAGCTGAACCTTGCAATGCCATTCTGCCAAACGGCTTCAACCCCTCCAGGCTCAGTACAGTCTAGCATCAGCATCGATTGTCTCAGAGCTTCGTTGGAGCATGTTCGTGACGATTGGCCAAACCTGTGAATGGTCCGGGGGAGAACGCAAGACACAGTGTGGCTTCCCTTGTGTGAGGACGACCAGAGGTAAATTGGGGGACTCACTCCCCTCCCTTTTGCTGCTTGGAGGGATTTGTGCTGGATTCCGAACTAATTAAAAAGAACGGAAGATTGGATTGGAATCTCATGTCTCCATTTTGGAGTTTGCTTTGTTTGCGGGGGGTGGCGGGTGGGGGTGGGAGTCCTTGGCAGACATGCGGCACCCCAGCGTGGACATGATGGAGGGCCAGCCAGAGTATGGCAGCATCCCAGAGGATTCGCCAGCTGAGGCCTGGGAGCCATAGGGTTTGACAGGGTCTGGAGAAATAGTTCGGGGTCGTATTTTGGCGAAAGCTGTTTGGATTTTCAGCACCCACGTGGTAGAACGGGCGCCCTCAAAAGAGGGCGCTACACTTGGGCCCTAGGCCATTGTGAGCCTTGAGGCTTGCCCGTGTTTTACCTTCATGCAGCTAAGTCAACGCATCCGGTCGGAGCAGTAGAGCGTAGGGTGGGCAATTTCATGCAGCAAAACAGACCGGTTGCTGCACACTTGCGGCACTGCATTAGCAGACTGCCTTCCAGCCGGGCAGTCTGCGTGCAGGATGTGAGCACCTCCCGCGTGGTCATGCCCATCCCTGCGGTGAAAAGATACTCAGCTGCACCCCAGTCCGCCCACGGGCCTACTCGTGTGCTCTGGCCAGCTTTTTCAGGAGTCAGACACAGCCTCGAGTTTGATTCTGCTGTGCACTAACGAACGGTTTGATCAGAGTGGAAGATCAGCGCGAGATGGAGGAGGAGTTTTAAAACGAAGCAAAGAAACCTACCGAGAGCTGATTGCAAGGCCAAGAAAAGGCAAGATTCCAACTTCCGGGCTTCGGCCGGAAATCAACAGGTGCTTCTCTTCTGCCTCGTTTGAGGCTACCCTTGAGAGGGTCTACTCAGAAAGAGGCACCTAAATAGGCGACCCTCGTTTGGGACGTGTTTTTTTCTTTTCTTTTCTTTTTTTCTTCGGGACAACTCAAAGGAAAGTCAAATCACTGGGCCAAATGAAGATTTTCAGTCACTCAAGCATTTGTTTGTCAAAACCCCAGCCCTGTTGATTTTGTCGGAGATTTTGTTAATTTCTACACGGGTTATGGATGTGGGATCCTGACGGAACGTGTCCGTCAGGACTCTTGGTGGCGTTGTCCATCTTCTACTGCCTGGCGCTGTCTGGCCGGGTGCTGTGGCTGACCGCCAGGGTCTTCTTCCGCGCCGCCGACGTGCCGCTTGGAGTTCGGAAGTTCGGAGTGGCAAAGATGGGCGGCTTTGCCACGGTTGACCCAGTTCTCACTTCAGCGGATTCCACCGTTCAAGTTTTTTCCCGAAAGCATCGCGAAGGGTTCTTCTGTGCGGAGCCCTTGGACAAGTTACACAGAGCCAAGTTGCACAGAGCCAAGTTACATAGAGCCAAGTTACATAGAGCCAAGTTACATAGAGCCAAGTTACATAGAGCCAAGTTACATAGAGCCAAGTTGCACAGAGCCAAGTTGCACAGAGCCAAGTTACATAGAGCCAAGTTACATAGAGCCAAGTTACATAGAGCCAAGTTACATAGAGCCAAGTTACATAGAGCCAAGTTACATAGAGCCAAGTTACATAGAGCCAAGTTACATAGAGCCAAGTTACATAGAGCCAAGTTACATAGAGCCAAGTTACATAGAGCCAAGTTACATAGAGCCAAGTTACACAGAGCCAAGTTACATAGAGCCACAGAGCCAAGTGGCACAGAGCCAAGGTTAGGTAGAGCTTGCGTAGAGCTTCGGCGTAAGCAGCTATGTAAGTTAGTTTAGGTTTCTAAGGCGCCGGGGCGGGAGTTGATCATCGCTCGGGATTGCGACCCTCTGCGGAGATCCGCGTGGTCGATGTTAAAAAACTGAGGACTTTTTACGATTTCTGCAAGCCGCGCGCGACCCTCTGCGGAGATTCGCGTGGTCGAGGTCAAAAAACTGAGGACTTTTTGCGATTTTTAGCATGCGCGCGCGACCTTCTGCGGAGATTCGCGTGGTCGAGGTTCAAAAACTGGGGACTTTTTACGATTTCTGCGGTGCGCGCGCGACCCTCTGCGGAGATTCGAGTGGTCGAGGTTCCAAAACTGAGGACTTTTTACAATTTCTGCGGTGCGCGCGCGACCCTCTGCGGAGATTCGAGTGGTCGAGGTTCCAAAACTGAGGACTTTTACGATTTCTGCAAGCCGCGCGCGACCCTCTGCGGAGATTCGCGTGGTCGAGGTCAAAAAACTGAGGACTTTTTGCGATTTTTAGCATGCGCGCGCGACCTTCTGCGGAGATTCGCGTGGTCGAGGTTCAAAAACTGGGGACTTTTTACGATTTCTGCGGTGCGCGCGCGACCCTCTGCGGAGATTCGGGTGGTCGAGGTTCCAAAACTGAGGACTTTTTACGATTTCTGCAAGCCGCGCGCGACCCTCTGCGGAGATTCGAGTGGTCGAGGTTCCAAAACTGAGGACTCTTTACGATTTCTGCAAGCCGCGCGCGATGCGGAGATTCGAGTGGTCGAGGTTCCAAAACTGAGGGCTTTTTACGATTTCTGCGGTGCGCACGACCCGCGAAATGGCCTTTGGAAGTTGTCTCGTGGCTCGCGCGCCTGCTTTCGCAATCCCGCGGTCCCGGGTTCGATTCCCCCCTGGTCCGCGGCAGCTTTTAAGTACAAACGTAGTACGCGGAGCGTGCTCCTGCAGCTCCGGCTGGAAAATCGCCACTTTTAAGTGCAGACGTAGTATGCGGAGCGTGCTCCCGCAGCTCCGGTTGGAAAATCGCAACTTTTAAGTACAGACGTAGTATGCGGAGCGTGCTCCCGCAGCTCCGGCTGGAAAATCGCAATTTTTAAGTACAAAAACAGTACGCGAAGTACGTTCCCACAGCTCTGGCAGCACTTGCGCAGAGCAACTTGCGCAGAGTCACTTGCGCAGAGCAACTTGCGCTCTGCGAATTGCACAGAGCAGTTGCACAAAGCACTTGCGCAGAGCAACTTGCACAGACCAACTTGCACAGAGCACATGCGCAAAGCGCTTGCACGGAGCAACTGGCGCAGAGCACTTGCGCAGAGCAACTTTCTCAGAGCACTTGCGCAGAGCAACCTGCACAGAGCACATTCGCAAAGCGCTTGCACGGAGCAACTGGCGCAGAGCAACTTGCACAGACCAATTTGCACAGAGCACATGCGCAAAGCGCTTGCACGGAGCAACTGGCGCAGCACTTGCGCAGAGCAACTTGCTCAGAGCACTTGCTCAGAGCACTTGCGCAGAGCAACTTGCACAGAGCACTTGCGTGCAGCAGCTTGCAGAGAGCAACTTGCGCGCAGCAGCCTGGAACAACGCAGCTTGCGCAGACCACTTTCGTGAGAAATCGCGCGGCGCAGTTCGAGAGGAAACTAGGATGATGAGATGGAGCTCTCATGTGACCATACACATTGAGCATCGCCGCGTGCAGACACGCTCGCCGCAGCGATGTAAAAAGGTGTCTCCGCGGCTGGATGAGCACCTTGGGAAAAATGCTTTCGGGCCAATCGTCCTCTAGTTTTGTTTTTTCCCCCTAAAAGGGGTTCCGGAACGCTGCCAGGTCCACTGGGCCATACTGGGCAACTATTTGTGATCTAAGTCGCCGAAGAAATGGCCGAAGAAATGGTTTCCTGGTAGCTTCGGAGGGGCATCGAAAAACGGGCAGCCTTCACATTCCTCAGGCTGGTGTTTCCGAAGAGCAACGCCCAAGGCGGACATTGGTGAGATGTCTCCGGTGAAGTAGGTACGAAATTATTCTCGGTGCTGAATCGCACAGAATCCCGGGGTCACCTATTTTGAGGCACACCCACGTGCACCTCCACACATGCACCGCCATGATCAAGAGTGCTTAGGCAGTATCGGTGAATGCCGACTCGGCATACCTGGTCGCCAGTGGGCGGCCGGGCCCTGTATGCCAACGTTTGGTTCTACCAACATGGTAAGGCTTACATGGGCCTTGTGTAAACGGGGGCCAGGAAGAAGCCAAAGTCAACCATGTTCTTTGCAAAATGGCCGGCTTCCTCTAGTTTCCTTTTAAACCTCACCCAAACACAGGGTCAAACCCAGTTTGGCGGTATGGTTGGAAGTTGATGGAAGTTGATGGATGCAATCCTTCCAAGGATTGCGGCCGACATGGCGTACTACAGACACGGCGCCGAGAGGCTGAAGAAGTGGGAGACTCAGCCAGGCACTGGCGCCAGCCTCGGGCTCGAGCGGTGCTGAACCCGGTGGTCCGTTGAGGCCTAGCCTCTTTTCGGTTTGGGTGGGTTAAGTTCCTTCGGCTCCGAGGATATATCCGGCTTGACCAACCCAAGTGAATCCTAAAAGACCCTTCCCCTTCCCCCCCCCCCACTGACATAGCACCGGTGGGAGGGTACCTGCAAGATCAGTTTCCTCTTAAAGCAACCTCCTGTGAGATACTGTGTCAGTGGGAGGGAGTGCACCTTCAGCTTCTTTGTTTTTCCAATTTGGCTGTGAAACCGAGGGGCTTGGGCCAAGCTTTGGGGTTGGTTGCCCTTGAGGCTCGGCCTCCCTTTTCTCCCATCCTCCGGTTCGGGAACCGATATCCCTGAAGTTTCGGGGAATGTCCGGAAGAGTTTCGGCCACCTGGAAAGGCCACGGCGCTTTCCCCAGGTGGGTGCAAACCTACATCAGCGACCTTCACATCGAGGCCATCAACTACCAGGAGGTTCTGGACGATCTGGTGGCCGAGGCCCCTAGTGGCTGCCTGGTTTAGACCCAACGCTGTTGTTTTCCCTTGGGTTTCCCTTCAAAACCATCAAGCACCAGGTACCCTCAACAACAAGACGCCCCTGTAAAGATATGTATATATATATAGGGGTATTCAACATATGCACAACATCCGAGGCTTTGCCGCAATATCATGGTTTGTGGGAAGTGGAGGGATGTGTTCCTTGAGGTTTGTAGAGATGCGGCTTGGGCGTGGTTTAGGGCCCGTGAAGTTGCGCTATGGCAAAAGACATGGCAACACGCGTGCGCCCTTTCTCTCTCTCTCTCTCTCTTTCTCTCTTTGTCTCTCTTTCTCTCTCTCAGACCCTGTGTTTTACGACTGTCACGGGGTGCGGCTGCAAAGCAACCAAAGCGAAGCGGATATGTTTTCTGCTGCTTCGTGCAGAAGGCTGTGAAACGAAGCAGCTTGGATGGATGTCGTGCACCAGAGCGAAGACAACAGAACAAGACAAAGCCAACCCCACCCGAACTCCGACATGGTCGGGCTGACCCAGTCTTGCAGCCTTGTGCCCGGACCCAGCCGCATGCGGGCGATTCCGCAAACAGCATCGCACTCTCGGCCCGAACCTTGCCAACAGCCTCGGGTAGGTGGAGCACATTGGCACGGTGGTGACGCAGAGCGTGGTGTACATCATGATCCAGGGAGTGGCTGGGCCCAGTCTCGGGGTGAGAGTTGCGGTACCAAAGCTGCAGGGCTGAACCGAAAATGCCTTTGGGCTTCAGCAACTGTAAAAAAGTCAGAAGAAAAGGTGGTCTTCAGCCCTAGCCGTTCCCGGCGTTGGGATAAGGTGTGGAGCGAGAGGTTCCCAAGTCGGGGGCGCCACAGCATCGGTTTACAAGTTCCGCGGTTGGACTCCTTCCGGTATTCCTTTTGTTTGGAGCGGTGTGTCAAGTGCTTCTCTTGAAATCGGTTAGCTTGAGGTATTCGACATTTTGTCTGGCAGAGCCAGTGAAGGTTAGCAAAAGCGCTGTGCCTGCCTTGTGTCACAGGAGTTGTGGATTATTTGTATGGGGTCCCTCGCTCTCCTCATTTCTTTGATTTTGTGACCTTCCCGCTAGAATTGGTCAACTCCAAAAATGGACCCCCTTTCGCACGGGCTCACTGCGCGATTGGCAAAACGTCAATCCTCAAAAAAAACGACGGGCATGAGGACATGTCAAAGATTGAAGGCTTTGTAGGGATTGCCCGGGATGGTAAAACTTGCTTGACGTAGTGAGGGCACTGGTCGTTTCAACACATGTGCGTGCTTTTGGGTTTTGTTCCTGTTGCTCTCCTGCAGATGAACGTTGAACCCTGCAAAAAACCCACGGATTGTCTTGCTGGTTCTCAGCAGGGAATGAGGGTTATGACCCCTACAAGCCATCCGCTGTGGTTTCTAAGGGAATCCCCTTCCGGTTCATTCCCAACACCCGGCTGGCTGAGTCATTCCCTATCTGTCGCACCAGCAAGTTCTAGAGGAGTCTCCTTTTCGGATCGGTTTTCCAGTCGCAGGATTTGGGGTGGGGGGGGGGTGGGGTTCGTTTAGGTGGTCACCTTCATCTTCCTGATCTACATGTTGTGGAGCCCCATCAAGGTGGATGGCAGCGCCATGGCCACGGAGGCGCGGTGAACCAACAAAAAAACCGGTGGGAGGGCCGCTGGGGCCCTGGAGCACCACGGAAATTGTCACTTCAGGGCTCCCACTGGTTGCCCCGCATGTTCTCCCCAATGCCCCGGAACATCCGGCGTTCTTGTGCAAGCTGGTGTAAAGCAAAATGTTCCTCTGCGCGCAGGGTGCGGTTTCGGTTGTAGTTCGCTTCACTGGCAGGTCTTCAACTCCACGAGCCGCTATCTCAAGGTGAAGTGCGTGATCTCGGCCTTTACGGGGCTCTCTATAGGCGCGGAAGTTGGTGTCCCGTGCCTGGGGCGTGATGCGGTTGACAAGAGCGAAAGGCTTCGGGTTTTCCAGGCTGCAACAGATTTGCAGCGCTGGTCCGGTCTTAAGGCCATGTTGTCTCGCAACATGAGCCGCCGACGAAATCAAAGCAAAAGAGCAGTCGAAAGGGCTTGCACGCAGCCTTGACTCATCCAGGGTCGAACACATGACATTTGTTGGGAGTGCCCACTGCGAAGAAGTAATTAACTACTAGTCATGCATCACCACCCATGCCGGGTGGAGCTTCTGCGCTGGTCGCGACGTGTGGCAGTGTGGCGGGCGTCACCTAGCATCACCTTGACCAATTTCTCACTTCCTGAGTTGGAATTAGTCACTTGTTGGGATTGGACCATTTTTGTGGTAAACAAACGGATCGGTGACTTTGTTCTCCAGGTTCCTTTTCATTTACCTCGAACGCCCAACCAGACACTTCCATTTGCTTAAGGTATTTTTTCGTTCAATCCACTGATGCACCATTCGATTGGAGCTACCGCAAATACGATCCACAAAGATGCAAACAGAACACCGCAAAAGTTGTTCAAGCATGAGATAAGGTTCTTGGGCTAAAGTTATTAACATTCGCAAATTATGCGAACAGCTTACTCATCGGTTCCTTCTAATCACCGAAAATTACGTAAAAGTCATTCTCCTTCAAAAAACCCGCTCTTAGGCATGGCAGCGAAATATCCTTCAGCCCTCGCGATCGATCGGAAGACCGGGCTTCGCATGTTTCACCTCAGGGCTGCTGCTCTATGGCCTGGGCCTGGACCTGCCGGCGGCCTTTGGGCTCATGTCCTTCCTGGCCAACTTCCTGCCAGGTGGGGGAGGGCTGGAAGGATATGTATACATGTAGATATCTATTCTCTTTGTATAGAAGTATATACTCTTGTATGTGTACAAAGACACACACACATAGTACATACATGTGTATATATACATGCATATATACATACATATATATATATATAAATTAGGGTCGCAATGGATTAAGCGGGGGGGGGGAATGTCGCACGTCGACTCCGGATGAAGCTCAAGCACAGATCCCTCTTCCATGGAAGGCGCTCAGGAGTTTATCGATGAGTTCGGGTTCGGCTGTTTCGGGGGCATGAAGAGCTGAGAGGCAACCTCCAAACCATCGCATTTGGCTATTTGTGTTACGTTGATCCCTATGTAAATATATATCTATATATGTATATATACATTCATACGTACATGTCGATGTATGCTCAAGACCACGTCCAAACGCATTCTCACGTGCCTTAGCCTTAGCGCGTGCACATTTCTTGCAAAGGGAAATAATCGGTCATCCAGTTCAAGCCCATTCGACTTGGTAGTTCTGCGAGGCATCGGCTCTCCCGCCGCCTCTGTGCTGCCGTGCCTGCTGGCGATCATCGACGTGCGCAGGACGCCTACCCAGGAGGGGCTAACGGGAGGAGTGGTTCTGCCCATATGGGCAATGGTCTGACCTGGAAGATCAGCTTGCTTTTGCAGGGGCCCGCTGTCAGATGTTATGTTCGTAGGATAGTGGGCATACTCATGATGACCTGTTGCAGCTTGAGCATGGACACGCGCGCCAAATCACTATGAACAAATTTGTGTTGCTCACAAATTTGGTTGGGTACAGGACAGTTTACCCCCCCCCCCCCCCCCGCCCACCAAAAAAAAACAGAAAGAACAACAAAAACAACAACAAGATGCAAACAACCAAAACGGAGCCTGTTCTTCCCTTATTCAGTTTCCCTCGTCCTAAAAATGACACCCGTATGGTTCTACCAGAAAACGCTCCACGCTTCAGAACTGTCGTAAATCCAGTCCTTGGGTTTGAAATGGACTCAACAACCCATGGTATTTGTTAGTTTTGGGACGTGGGGCACACGTGTAGATTGGTGCGTGTATCCAGGACGCCGTGTGTCACGAGCAGGGGCTTGTTTCATTTCAGGTTGGTGAGTTTTTCTGCGCGGCCGGCGATTGCCCCATCCCCAGCCAGAAACGGAGCTTGACAATGAGAAGGTCAGGGGAAGCAAGCAGACTTTGCTTTGGCAAGCAACTACCTCTCCACATTTTACCCAAGCGCACCCGGTTTGTTGTTCTACCCCAGGACGGAAGAGTCCCCGAAAACGCAGTAGGTGACTGAAAAATGGACGGCGCAACTGGTCGACTTGGCTTCGCCCGTGCTGAGTCCACAAGGAGCACCTCTAAGCGCTTGGAAGCGGTGGTAGGGCCGCACGGGCGCGGGTTTTCGTGCCTCCCGGCTTTTGCTTGTTTCCGCGTGCAGGTGGCGATCGCATTTTTCATGCAGATCATTGTGCACTTCTTCATCGACTTTGTGCCCCTCGCCTCCGGGACTCGCCTTTTTTTGTTTTGGCTTGGGGTGGCCGCTGGATTCAGGCGTCTCTTCCTTAGGTTGCGCTTCAGCGAAACCAAAGGGAAGCCACTCATTCTGTGGGTTGCCCCATTTTGAGAGGCCCACACCATACACCTAGGATTGAGCCCGTGATCTTTGGCATCTCAGTGGAGATCCATTCGGCGCCTGGGCGATACATGGGCAGGTTGACGGTTTTCTCCCACAATCTGTGGTGTTTGTACACATGTCCCTTTTACATATTTCTTGGCAACCTTTTGTTCATGCCCCTCAAAAAAGGAGCCAAGGGGTCTGGAATGCACTTTTACACTTAGACGGACCAGATGCCTTTTCGCACGGCGCTTTGTAGGTTGTTCCGTCAAAAGGGATGGCTACCATCGCCTTTTGGGATTTGAAGTGAGTCTCCTTGAGTGACTCCTGGACCAAGCCATGTTCAGCGGAGAGTCTATGGTTCTCCTTGGGAGGGACATGGGGGGCTCACCAAGTTTCCCATCCCAGGGAGCCAAGCCATGGAGCGTTTGCCCGCTGAGGTCATAGTGATCCTCGGCATTTGGTTCTTCTATGAGGCATACTGCTCCGGGGCTCGAACATTCGCCGTGACATAAAATTTGGAAGGGGGAACTAAGTGAAAGACCCCCCAAGAAAGGGGACCCCCGTAAATCAGCCAGAGCCAGGGGTTTTTCTCATCCTCGGCCACAGCGAAGGCTGAAACAAGGGCTCCGGCAGCAAATCATCAAGCACCCAGCGGGGAATCAGCCAATGTCGACTGGCAACCTGCCCTGTCGCTTTCCCCCCGCCTTGAAAGACTGAACTTCTCTTCTCTCTCTTTGTGCATGTTCACCCCACCAGGTAAGTAGACTGCAACCAGGGGCCAATCAACCCGTTTTAAGCATGTTAAACCTTCCATTGTTTACACAGCCTTCATGGAACCAGGGTCCGGCTGTTTAGTCATAACCTACTTGCTGAGTGGGTTAAAGATCCATAAGCATGCGCCGCAGGTGTGGGGTGTCCCCGGCATGCTCCTGTCCGTGCCCTTGCTGTCTGTGGTGAGGACTGGCAAGCTGCGCTGGCGCCGTCAGTTTGGCTGTCCCAGTTTATGGCGGCTGAGTGGACCAGCCCCAGTTCCCCCAGCCACCGAGGTTTCACCATGCCCCTCAACGGCGAGCACTTGGAGGGGTCTGATAGTCTGACGGGTAAGGATGTTTCTTGATGTCACTTGAAGGGACCCGGCTCCAAGGGCGACGGTGTTGGTACTGCCGTACGTTCGGGGCCGGGATCCCACTCCCCCCCAAAGTTGGAAGCAGGGTTCACCTGAAAATTCGCTTGCAACCAAACAACTCGACGTTTGAAAAACTGTGGGCTTCTCAAGCTTGTCTTGTAGGTCCTTGGGGCTTCAATGTGGAAATGATCCGTTTCAAGTCCGCCGCTCCATTTGGCTTGGTCGCACCGGGCAGGTTGTGTCAGTTTCCAGTCAAGCACTTGGGCTTTCTCTGCTCCGAGGTGGCGGCTCCAGGCGCCCGGATCTGCGAAAAGCACATGAACGTCAATCTGGGGCTCCCCAAAAGTCGAAACGTCGCCCTTTTCCGACTCACGAAACGGGTAAGAGCCCCTGTTGCAGGCGCAAGAGGTCAAGGGGTCCTAAACGTTGCCACTCCCCTGCGGGAAACTGGAATGAGTCATGGGAGCTTCGAGGGCCCACACGTTTAATGAATTGAAGCAGACTTTTAGAACAAGATGGCAGACCCAAGAAGTTTCACCCCTTCAGATCGGTAAGTTCGGAAGGTGACAGCTCGTGGGCGCATTCAACATTCAAGACATTTCGACAGGAGACGCGGGACTGAATACATGACTGACTCCAACAATAGGTCATAGCACATAGGCACCTTCCACAAGCACAAACCACACGGGGGAGCAGCAGGCCCCTCCGCGCGTTCCGCGTTGCCATGGCCACCTGCGCAGCAGAGGGCTGCAGGGCCGCTGGGACGCAGAAGTGCGGGCGCTGTGGCATGGGGTACTGCTCCACGGCGCCCGCGGCTGCAATCGTCTGGTGATTGGGTGGGGTGGCCGGCTTTTTTGGACAACTAGCATTTTTGGCTTGGACACTTGAAGTTGAACCGGAGCTGACAGGTGGCAGAGCGCAACTCTGCAGCTTCCAAACCAGATTGGAAGGAGGGATGCTGGCAAATGAGAAAACTTGGTGCGAAGCAGGGAATTTCAAGAAGCACTTGAATGAATCTGGGGTTCCCCGTAAAAGAAGCCAATGCAGACTCGTTCCCTTACCCCTACTGAGAACCAGCAGAGAAGATAGCTAAAGATGACTTCGTGGGATTGCAGCCGCGTTTGTTCTCCAGTATGTTGTCCGGGCTTGGGTCCAAACGAGGACCCCACGCTATAGGATTTTTACTGCAGCCAATCAAGTAGTTTTGCCTTTCCGGACCCTCTTTGAGAAATCAGGACCCTCCAAAGTGTAGAAATCCTTCAGGTCTTGGGGTGCGCTTTGTTTCCCTAGGCAAGACTTGTGAAACCAATCCTAGTCTCCATGACCCTTGAAACACATTAACTCGATTAAACAACCCCCCCCAAAATGATGGGTACACCAATTGCTCAGCGGGAAGCACACCTTTGGGTGGGGCCCTCTGAGGATTGCCAGCGCCGGCACTGGCCCATGCGCCTAGGCCAACAACTAGAGCTCGCCGCATGAGGACAGCCGAACATCGTTTTTTAGCGGCTCCATCGGATCTGGCCCTTCGTTTTTTCCAAGATGGCGCCTTTGCAGTCAAGATGTCCAAAGGTGATCGCTTTGTTGCTTTCAGGACCTTGGGGAAATGAGACAGCACATGATTGAAGGAAAGCAACAAGGGCTCCCCAGCCGCCCGCGCTTTGCTGGGGATGCAATGATAAGCTCATACACTAGGGCACGCCAGGGAATAGACATGAATAGACCCATACACTAGGGGACAAACGCGTTGGGTCCGGAAAGTTGTGAGGGTGCCGTGCTGAGGCACAAGGCGACATGCCAGCCCTGCCAAAGCTTCTGCTGCCCTCGTGCCATCCAGGCCAGGTTCATCCAAAATTCGTAAGGGAGGACGCCTCTTGCTCAGCAAGGCGTGAATGCACCGTCTTCAGAAGCAGGCGCTTTTTCTCCCCACGTCAGCCGACTGTTTGGCGCAATGAAGATATGTGGGTGACTTGTGCCACCAGAGCCAGTGTCCCTTCAAAACGGGCTTCTCGTTGTTCAGGGTTGGGTGGGGTCAAGATCTCCAAATGGCGACTTTTGGCAGGCGCTGGAGGAGGAGCGGCTGCGCGCCACTCAGCCGGAGCCGCCGGAGTTGCAGAGGGAGCTGCGAAGACTGGCGGATCCCAGGCGAGGATCGAGGTTTCTTTGGGGTAACAGCGAGCAACTTGCATGCTGGAGGTGGTGTTTTTTCATGGCGTCCTTTTTGGGCTTAGCTAAAAGGAGATCCAAAGGAAACCCGGTCCCAATTTTGAGACAAGCCCCGCCTAGACTTTCACAGATGTCTTCCCCGTCAATATCACGCTTGAAAGCGGAATTCAGGGTCAGAGCAGGCCACGTTCTCTCCGAAGGACAACTGCTTAAACCACCCAAACCCTTTCCCTCTTCAAAGGCAGGAGGAGAATATTCAGATGGTTTATCGCATGGTTTCGGGGCAAATCGAGCTCTGCCACTGGCCCAGTTTCAAATAAGTCTTTGAACTCGACCTCCCTCGCGCAGCGCGGACGTGGCGGACGTGTCGATCAGCGGCCTCAGCCAGCAGGGCAGCTGCCAGCTGCTGGGGGCCTTGCGGGGGCAGCGGCTTCAGCTGTTGGTGCTGGAGGAAGGGCGGATATCCTTACAGGCTTGAATAAATAGATGTCAATAGGTGCTTGGGTGAAGAGTCAGGTAAGGCATTGGCTTGCCGCTGACTCTGAATGAGCTTCCTTCCTGTGTTAGTGCCTTTTTTTCGCATCCCTGATCTGGGACGAGCGAGACCTACTCGACGATGCTGGAGAGAGAGAGAGAGAGAGAGAGAGAGAGAGCGGTGCTTAGGTGATCTTGGGTGAAGACAGTGTATTTGTTGCGGGTCTGATGCTTGTAAGGCTGGACAAGGTAAGTCCTCCGAAGATGCTTATTTGGGCTGTTCAGCGATCTTGTGTGAGGTGGTAGTGGTTTCCCTTGTGGTAGATCCACTACGGATTGTGGATTGGGACACCCGTTTGAACAGCTGCGTTCCGAAACGCAGGCACTCGGGCGGGCTTTTTTTCTCAGAGATTCACACACACACACACTTGCTGCCAAAAAGTGAGATGCTGCCACAGGAAATGCCATTCGAGCCACGTCCTTGGCACAGATGATGAAGCCATGAGTTCCATTGTAGGCATTGTGTTTGTCCGTACTCAGCCAGCTTTGTCCTCCTCCAATACTCCAATCATTTAGAAACTTGTCAGATCGGATGATCCAGCCTGGTGAGTGGGTGTTGGTTTCACCACGCCTCAGAACAGGCCCTTGTGTGCTTTTCTATATTGTACGAGGTGGCCCATGTTCGGAGAAGGTTTTGTGTTTCCACAGTGAAGAAGTATAAAGATGTATGATTCTTGCAAAGGGCGGTTTGCTTCTTGGGCCAGAGGTTTTCCCATTTGCCTGGTGCGTCGAGCGGGTAGGACATGTGATGACCCCGGCTTGGGTTGGACGACCCCCTAGCCCATGGCAGGATGATTGTTGATGAGGCGTAGGCTCCATTCAACTACAGCCAAGTTTGGCCAGTGTTGTGGGCCAGCTAGGTTGTGTCCGGAAATTCTTGCGGGTAGTGGAGAGGCTTGGGTGGGGTGGCTGGCAGGTGGGAAAGGCAACTAAGCTTCTACGCCCCTGCACTGTGTTCAACCCAGACAATAAGTCAAAATCCATTGTCATAATCATTGTCAAAGCTTGGCTAGCCATGGTCAAACCTGGGATGAGTGAGGTGAGTGTCTTAGAATCGTTCCCTTATTGGCTAACCATGGTTTTCGCTGCAGCCTGCTTCGGGTTGAACACAGGATTGCCATTTGGACGCCCAAGCTGCGCGACTCCTAGCTGAGCTGCCGAAGGACAGCCTCCAGGCACCCTGGCCTTTGCTTTTGGATTGTTCATTCCCAGACCCTGGGTCATTCCCTAGCACCAGCACGTCATGGTGATTGGATCACAGCAGCATCACAAGCACACTGTCCCTTCAAAACATACGGGTAAAGCCAAGCAAAAGCAATGCTTCGGGCATCAGCTGCAGATTGTCTAGGCCGTGTCAATATGGCGCTGATGCCACGCATTGTTTGGGGCTTGCGCAATCAAAGCCATGCCGGTAAAATTGACCGGCTTCTTAGTCTAGCAAGAGCGCCACCAATGAGCAGGCACATGCGTTGGGCGTCCTTTTCGGTCGGCTGCCCGGCTTTGGTGCGGTCCTCTAGTCTGCGGCAAGGTAGTCTTCAAAAACCTTCCTGTCAGCCTGTGTGATTGTTGGGGGGGCACGCGTACGATTCGACTCGAATCCCAGTCCAAAGAACATGTTTCAACCAATTGTGGGATATCCGTTTGGGGTTGGTTCAAGAGTTAAACTACCAGGGGACAAGTTTGGGGTTAGCCCCATTTGGAGGGCCAGGCGGAAAAGGTGGGAAGCCGTTTGTGGCCTAGGCGCTGAACCTGGCCCACAATCAGCTGGAGGTGACCGGCTTGCAGCTGCTGTTTCCAGGCGACCTGCGAAGCCTGCGAGAGCTGAACCTCAGGGACAACCTCCTGGGCCCCAAGGCGCCGTTGGAAGCCCCGTCCGGTCTCCGCGCGTCCGGTTTCCAAAGCCTAAAGCCCGTGTCCGGATTTGCTTTTTCGGGGTGGAGGTGGTGATGGACCCGTCGGCCACTTTCTGAGCCAACAAGGTGGCCTCCGAAAAAGACGCGCACCCATTTTCTCCCCAACAAAGGGTGGCTTGAACATTTTTTTGGGAGAGGACAAATCCCAATTGAGCTTGCATGGGGTTTTGTTTGAAGGGGAAGTGTGGGAAACCACGTGCAAGATGTGAGGATACGTACCTGCCATTTGAAAAGGGACCAGTGCGAAACTCCCATTTGCAGACACCCATTTCGCAGTAGGAGGTCCACATCCGTCAAGTGATGCATTTTCGATAGTTCCCTTGGTGAATAAATGGGGAATAGTGTAAAACCAGGGAGGTCCTCAGGATTCCTGTCAGAAGTCAAGGCTCTGAGGCCGAGCCCTGCGCGTGGCAACTTACCTTGGAACGTCCTGAAGGACCTTTGGGTTTCCGAATGGGGGGAAGCCAGCTGGTTAAGCCAGCATGGCATCTACGAACACCTTTGAGCCTTTGGGCAAGTGGCTTGTCGTCGAAAAGGGTCGGAGCGTCCCAGCTGCCGAAGTGCAGCCGCGCAGCTTGAGGGCCGACCTGTGGGGATTTGTCTTGCGAAGCGGTTGCCCCCCTATAGGAACCCTTTGTTTGGGTCGTGTTGAAGGGACACTGCAATGAAGCGCATCAACTGAGATGTGCCACTACTTAGTTTGGATCCACAAAAAGGCAAATATCCAGAACTTCAACCGCATCAGCCCGCCAAAGCGCGAAGTGCCCGGCTCAGGCGGCAGAGATTGTGGCGCAGCTGGTGCCACTCGGAATGCCAAAGTGTGTTCGGCGAAAAGTACGACTCTTCCCGTCTGGGCTGGTGGGGCGATACTTGAGAAACGCTGCGCTTGGTCTCAGAGACTAGATCGCCAACGGCCACTTCACCAGTTGGCCGTTTCAAGTGCCTTAGTGGACTACCTGGCCACAAACTGAAACGAGCGCCATCTCTCTGCCGTTTGAGCATGAGTTGAACTAATCCCCAAGGTGAAGCTGAGTAGTTTGCACTGAGGGTTGCCGCTTACCAGCCTAGGCTGGCAGGCCCGGAGTTGAAAGTGGTGAACCTCGCAGAGAACTTCCTGCAGGATGCGTCAAGCTTTAGATTGGTTGTCTCACATGGTTTCCCGTGACTCAAAGGATTGACCTTGAAGATTTAGATGCTACTTGCAGGAGGTTGCTGGATGTTGACCTGGCCATGACCTGGCCCACCTAGCTTCTCAGAAAATCCCACACGCTCGGGGTTCAATCAGGGTCCAATGGACCTCCATGGGGCCCGGGCTGGTTTGGGGGTTGATCAAAAGGTCTGATGAACATGGGATGACCGCTGGGGGAAAGTTACAGGGTTACCCATGGTCATTCTGGGGCTAGGAATGACACACTCGTACATGATCCTAGTGTATTCTATGTAAATTATGATCCGGGTAAAACGCTGTTGAGCCTCCGAAGCCAGAGCGAATGAACCGAATGACTTCTGACCTTGCCAGTGGACCCAAAGGTTATTATTTCTTCGGCCGCGGTAGTCTAGGTCCTTGGGGTTTCCCACAGGTCCACTGGTTGTTGCGGATAGGAAGCCCCAGCCCAAAGTTTGTTGTACAATCTTCATGCAACGTCACGAATCTTGGTTTCAAAATTGGAACCTCCCCTGTGTTTGTTTTTGAGTGCACGTGTACCGGGGTTTGTTTTGAAACAAAGCTGGAACGAAATGGCTCATTTGAGACACACCTACGCATGTGCCATTCATCTCAGGAGGAGGGTGCTGCCCTGCTGGCCAAAGCGCTGCAGGACGCAGGATTCGACTTGGGGTCGGTCGGAGGGAAGTGAAAGGGGGCAGGCACAGTGAATACATCACCCCTCAAGAATGGCACTGGGGGCGGGAGGGGGCCGACCCCCAAATTTTGCTTATGATGGAGTCTCAGGGCAGTACTGCCAGCAGTTGCCAGGGATCTGAATTCTGCCGCCCCAACACCTGTGCTGACTTTCCCTGCAAGGTGCGATGTGCGGTAATTTTGTAGCTGCGTTTGAGTGTCCGCCCATTTGGTGTCCTTTCCCTCCTGCCTTGGGTACCCGGGTGGGTAACTCTGCCAACCTGTCCCGAAATTCGGATCCTTCGGGTCTTTCGCCCAAGCCGCCGCGAACATCTCCTGGAGCTCTCGGCGTGGGAGGCCCGCGGGCCTTGCATCTGGACCTCCGGGGCAACGAGCTGCGGCTGAGCGGGGCCAAGAGCCTGGCCTCGGTGCTGGGGAGCTTCGAGGCTTTAGAGCCAGGAGCCCCGGAGGGTCAGCTGGGTGGGGTGGGGTGGGGTGGGGTAGGGTGGGGTCGGGTGGGGTAGGGTGGGGTAGGGTGGGGTAGGGTGGGGTAGGGTGGAGTTGGGTTCAGTGGATTCCACCACATCTTTTGCAATTCCTCTGGTGCACTTTCCAGGCGATGGGAGACACGGATGCTTTCAAGCCAAGAGGCCGACGCAGGCTTCAGCTGCTATATAAGCCATTTTTGAGCTCGCCGAAGGGCCCCTTAAGGACGCAAGAAAGTGCACAGCATCCACAAGCCCGCTTGCCTTTTGGAAAGAAGGTTTCACAGCCTGGGCAAACTACTTGCTTCTGGGCATGTCGATGCATTTATGGACCTGTCCAAGTGTTGGTTTCCTTCTGGATTCCCTTTCAAACCGTCTCACAGGTGATTCCCAAATTTTCTAGAATGGCGGCGGGTTAGTCCTGATTTGGTTCCAGCGCCATAGGTGTGGCATCCTCTTTGTGATTTTGGAAGGGCTTTGACTATAGCGATGCGATCCAAAGGTCTGATTTCAATTATTTTCCAACATAGGATGCATAGGCCCCTAAACCGGCGGTTTTTCTTTTGGTTTCTTGCCATGAAACTTGATATTTTTTCGTAACGGTGCAATCGGACACGTGTTCTTTCTTTAGGCTTGAGGAGGGTTCTGGGTCACCCGGGGGTTCTTCACTGGCTTCTCCCCCAAAAGTTTGGACGCTCAGGCTGGCGTCCAACCGGCTGGGCGACTTTGGCGCCAAGGCCGAGGATCCAAGCCGTGAGGGCACCCGAGCCATCTGACAGAGAGAATCAAAGTTTCTGCTGAATGGCTCAGTTCTTGTTCAACAATCAACTCCTTTTGTCTGCTCAGATGGTAGCCGTGTCCCAGAAAGGCCACACATTTGCGAAGGCTTTGGCGCAGAAGTTGGCGGACAACTCCAGCCTCACCAGCATTGGCCTGGCCGTGCGGGCCCCGCAACAAGGGGGGGGGGGGGGCTGGTTTTCAGTTTTAAAGGCTACCCGTTTTACCTTGGTCTAACGGGAAACCAACAGGACAATGAATTTTTAACGCTCGGAAGCCCCGTAAAATTTGCTCAGAATGGACACGGCCCGTGCCAACGATGCCAAAGGGCCCAACATAACCCTTGGGCCGTTGCACTTCCTGCTCGATGGCTCATGGCACCCGGGTAAGTTGCCAGGAGCACAAGCTGTTCATGTGGTATGGTTTGTACATTCATCGTTTGCCTTAGCCGCCGGACATGTTCCGTTTCAGCTCGCTACAGCCTCGTTTGGGCGTCTCAAGGAAATTCTGCAATGCCAGGGAACCGTTACCCCGCCTCAATTCTGCAGTCGTTGGGAGAGCTTTTTAGGTGATAGCAGAAGTGGGCAGTCCAGGTCATATGTTGTGCACTAGGGGCAACTACGTTTGTTTGTCTGGCGTTGGATGCCGAGGAAAACCGAATTGGCGACGAGGGGGCCAAGGCTGCGAGCTGAATCGGGCTGCAGATTGACATGCGCAAACTGCAAAGGGAGCACCCATGATCAATGTTCTTTACTTGGGGATGCCTAAAAAGCCAGTCTGTTTACGGCCATTTGCCCAAGCAACTTTCCTGGCCCCACTTTAGAACCGGCGGGCAAGGAGCGCCGGCAGCAATGGACTAATTGAATGCCGCTGCAGTTGGGCGACATGTGGCCATGGGTCAAAATCCACATCGTACCTGCAGTGAACATCCCAATCCCCGCTAAAATAGGTTCTAGAATGGGTGGTGCACCAACCAAAATGGGATCCCATGGGTTTTGACAACCACAGCCATGGAGCGCACTCAATTGCCACCGGGAATGCCTGGTGGAGGCGTTGGCGGAGTCTTTGGGAGCGAGCCGAGCGCTGAAGAGCTTGGAGCTGGACGTGGGGGGAGAGGATTTGAGAGGGTTTGCATGGCTAGGTCCCCCGGAAGTGCCCTTTTACGGGGATGGTTCCCCTACTAAAGCAGACTACAGAAACAGGATACCCTTATTCTAACCTCTCTACTGGAGGACCTGGATGGATTTGCCTTGGGAGCCCTGGATCGAAGAAACCCCTGGTTGGTTTTTGTTGGGGGGTGGCATTTGAGAGGGAAGCCGAACTATCAATCTGGCAGGTTGATGAGCCCAACTGCGAAGGTGTCCAAATGGGGATCTGGACTTAAAATGCTGTGATTTTTTTGAGTTTCCACACCAGTGCCCCCTTGAAAGAGGGTTTCTACACAAAAAGACCAGCCCTTTCTTTACTAGGAAGCCAATGCGAGCACCGGATCTGGCCAAATCGCAAGCTTTTGGCAGGGGATCCATTCCATTCCACTGGACATGTTGGTTAAAGGGCGAGAACCACGGCATCCCCAAGTGTCAGGATTACAACTCCATCACGGACGGCTCCTGCCTGGCGCAGTTGACTTGTGAGGTCACGCTGGCAGGCAACAACCTCCGGGCCTTTCCGGAATGATGGGACCTGGGCTGAATAAAGCCAAGGTTGGTGAATAGGTTCCTTGTAGGCGCCTTTCAGGAAAACCACTCCTCGATATTGTCCGGGTTGATCAATCCGGGGTCGACATCAGGGGCCGAATGGACCCTGGGCATTTCTCGCGCGGTCTCGACTGGAATTGTTGCAATGCTGGCGATGCCAGTGGCACGGAGGAGGCGCGTGACCCAGCGAAGACCAAAGAGTGCGTGGCGCTTTCCAAGTCTGACTTGCCGGTTCAGGAGGGAAGGAGGGAACCTCTCTAAACCATCCCTTGTGGCTTTCAGGAGATCCCCTTCGGGTTCATTCCCAACCTTCTTGAGCCACTCCCTACCATCTCGAGCGCATGGACTTGGGCCGGGCGCATCTGACAGGGCCCGGCATGTCTCAGTGCGCCAGGATGATGATGAAGTCCGTGAAGTTCCCCAGTGCTGGAGGACCGCATGAAAGGGCGAATGCTGTCGAGGGAGGTTTGTTGGGGACAGGTTCCCCGACCTTCAGCACGGTGAACTAGCTACATGCAAAACCGGGGCTTTTGGAGGCCTGCGGCCATGTTAGGGCCTAACTCAAAAATCCAATCCACTTGAAGGACTCTGCCTGATCCCTTCGGTCAAATTCTTCGCTTTGGAAACCTGGTTGTAGTTGACGATCTTCGGTTCCATGTTGGCAAGTTGGGAGGGATTTGAAGCCCAGGATTGAGTTGAGTTGAGATTTGAGAGGTTGAGGTCTGAGAAGCAGGATTGACAAAAAGGATGCTGCTGCTGGGGGCCCGCTCTGTCGTCTTGAATCATGGGAGGTGCCGAAAACTGGTCTCTTGGCCAAACCCTGTGGGTTTAAAGTGGCTGGCAGCCCGCTGGGAGAACCGGTTGTCTTTCATGAGTTGGAGTGTATGAGTCATATGCCCAGGGGATCCTTTACATTTTTGGGGAAGCAGTCTCCCCCACGGGTGAATCTGAGATCGTCAGCTGCAGGGGGCGAGGATGCGGACACCATCGCCTTCTTCGACAACGTCTTTGCTGGGCGTTGGATGAGCTCCGTGGGGGAGAGAGGCGGGTCGGAGTCGTGGCGGCCTTGCTACGGGCTTGGTTTCAGCTTAGCCGTTTCATTTGAGCTTGGTCGGAAATGCATGGATTCCCTTGGTTTCCGTTTGTGATTTGCCAGCGGCATCTACTTTCCCAAAAGTGTGAGGCAGATTCAGAAACGCGCTGGCAGCCCCCTTTGGCGGTTGCTGCCGCCAAGGGTCTGGGGAATTCAACGCGAAGTTGGGAGGGAATGAACATGTTGGAGGCACCCGACATGGAGGCAGCTTGCAGGCAGATCAGATTGTTCTCGCGATGCCTTGCAAATGATATTGGTTTGGAGCGTTGCACGTGCTGGACGAGTAGTTCCATTCCCCGATTTCACGCTCCACCCTCTTTGCTTTGGCAGGTGAGGAGGATATGGACGAGTTGGAGCCGTAGCTTGGCAATGCAGAGGGGGCGAAGCGGCTGCGCGTGCAGCCAGTGGCGGGTTGAAATGGGAAAGCGAGCGCCAATTGTTGAAGCGAGCTTAACCAGGCAGATGGCGTGATCAATCGGGGCAGGTTACCGGAAGTGGCATCTTTCAAACGAGCGTGCACCTGCTGGCCTACGGACCTGAGGCGTTGTCTGAAACTTTGTGTCAGACCTTTGCAACAGAGCGTCTGGCTTTTGTTGGGGTTGGAGGTTCGCACATGTTGGCACGCTAGCTAGCACATTTGTGTTGCTTGGCAAGTACATGAGGTTACCTTACACTTGCGCTTGTCCGGTACCGTGCGTGATACATTTTGCAAAAGAACGGGCTGATATGAACAAAACATATTTATATGTAAAAACGGATACGGGACACACAGACACGGGGCACGGGAGACCGGACTGACACGGGCGACGGGAAACGGGACACGGAGTTCACTTTTGGCGAGCGACATCGGACAAGGCCCGCTCCGGGGCAGATGGAAGAGGAAGCAGGCCAGCTCCACGTTGGGCGATTGGCTTGCGATGGGCAGGGGCGACCCTCGCAGGGTGGATGGACAAAAGCGGCCCTCAGCTGCCCCAGTTGTGGAAAGCAAGGGATAGCAAGGGGAAGTGCAGACAGACAGAGAGGCAGAGAGAGAGAGAGAGAGAGAAAGAGAGAGCGGGAGGCAGAGAGAGTTCGAGAAAAAGGGTGAATTGGAGCGGGGTGTCTTTTTGGGATCTGAGCGCTCCGTCAGTGACGACGGTCTGTGGCGACATCGCCAAGTACGAAGATCTGTGGACAGTCCTGTTGGAGACCCAGCTGGCGCAGGAGCCGAAACGCCTGGACTCGGGTGGAAGAACACGCGATTGATTTAGGGGGCCATGTTCGTTGGGTGTATGTGTTTTGTTTACTTTATTATGATGTATTATTTGCGCACAACTTATTCATTTGTTCATTAAAATTAAGGGTCAGTTCATTTGTTTACTTGTCGAAAATTTTGCGTTATCTCTCTATATATGTATGTGTTTGATTTATTTCTCCATTTGTCTTTTTTGGTTGGCATGATGTTCAGTTCTTTGCTTCTTTATTTATGTTTCATTGGGGGGGGGGCAAGAAACAGTTTGTTTTGCTAACATCCCAGTCATGAGGCTGTCGTCTCTTATGGCCATTGCGGGAAAAGCTCCATGTTCCACAAACTTCTCTAAGAGCCGGCTGGCACATCAGCTGCTTGGCCCAAACAGCACGGGAAAGTACTTCGGCAGGAGCTACGGCATTTGTACCTTCAGCGGCAGCTCACCTACGATTTGTTTTTGCTGGTCTTCATCACTAGCGCGGCGATATTGATCCAGGTGTAGCTGTTTGTTGGGCATCGAGCGGTGCATGTTGGAGCAGCAAGAGGCTCTCAATGGTGGTCTGCCTTTGCGCAGAAGGGGAATGAGAGCCGAGCGCCGCAAACTCTGCATGATCTCTTCAAGATCTCCTTATGGTGTGGCAAGCTTAAATCAACCTGAAGTAGCCCTCCCTGAAGGGGCGTTCAAAAATCCAAAGGTTAAATCCGCTAGGCAGCCAACAGGGCGCGTGGTGCGTCAGTCAATCATGTTTTGTGCTGCCCGCCTCGACCAGAGGTCGGCGGCTGTTCTGTTAGGGCAAAGTTTCCTACGTTTCCTCAAGATGCTGAGCTTTCCTCTGCTTGCCGGCCTTTCTTGAAGAACGCTTTGCCAAGTTTAGCTAGCGTTTGGCCTGAAACTGCAAGTCTGTCCCGGGGTGAAGGGTGCTGAGTTGATGGCCGCAGTGTTTTTGCTTGACATCGGTGTCCATGTCGAAATGCCGTCAAGAAGTGGCTGCCTTATGTTCTGGGATGCTCAGCAAAGTGCTTCGCGGTTGCACGGCGCATGGCTTAGGCGGGAGAAAAGCGCGCAGGAATGCTTCAGGGGTTGACGAAGCGTGTGCCAGTTGCCTCCCGGCCGATGCTTTTTTCTCCGACAGCTTTCAGCCTCGAATTTAGCCCAAAGAAAGCCCCCGGCCCGCGCAAATCGCGCGCGCCACGGGCGTTTCACTTCAAATTGATCCATGCCAGGAATTCCAAGGCAGCCATGCCTGCATGATCAGTTCTGCACACGGGTCAAAATCTCGGTGACCTTGGGATGATCAGTAGCCTCTAATTGTACTTAATTCGGCCTCCATGTTCATCCGGCACATCTTGCTTGCGGCGCCTTGCTTGCACGAGGGGTTGGACGAATGGAGCAGGACTTGTTTCAAGCCAACGGTACGCCCCGATCCCCAGGAAAGGTGTTTACTCATAGAGCTTCCAGAATGGCATGTTACAAAATGTTTAAGCCAACAATTGTTTGACAATTGTTTGGCATACAGGCCTTTTCGGGCGCAGGGGGCTTCTGAAAGTCTCCTTTTTCGAAGCCCTTGATTGTCCCAGGCCCAAGTGCCTTGGTGCCAAACGCAGCCAAGCGACGGGACGAATGCGCCACCCACAAAAAGGGTAAGGAGGCTGGACCACGCTGTTTATGAAGCTTGCTGCCATGCCGCCGCCCACGTCTCAAAGAACATGAAATCATTGGACAATTTCTGAAAGGATTTGTCTGGGAAAATCAACCATCTATGAATTGAATGAAGGACAAGTAGCTGTTCGCATCTCTATCTATCCCCGATCTGGTACTAGCGCTGCTGCAGACAGAGAGAAAGAGAGAGACAGAGAGAGAGAGAGACATGTGTTCATGGGTATGTAGGTTTGCGTGTTGCGCGAAACCTGTGCAAAAGCTGCGCATTGCGAGAGCTGGCGAATAGAGTGAGTAGAGCCTCTATGACCCTGTGCATGAGTTCGGCTCTTCGGCATGTGCGCAAAACACCTCTGTGGCAACTCCTTTTGTGAAAATTCCGCCGGCTTTGCTGGTAGCAGGTGCTCGGAGCCTCAGATATAACCACGCCATCAACGACCAAACGCCACCAGCATCACCAGGATGCTGGGGGTGCGGAGGGTTGCGTCCAAACCAAGGCACACAAGCAAGTGCAGCCCCAACACGTGTGATGATGTTGGGGGTTCTTGCAGAGACCTTGCGTGCAAGCATGGGGAATCCGAGAAAGACGGGCGTTTCCCACAGCGCAGCATCGTGCAAAGCAAAGGGGGGTTGAATTGAGCGAAGCCGGGAAAAACACAGAGGGAGGCAACCCCAAAAGAAGAAATCGTTGGAAAGTGCGCGGGTGAGCCGCGGTTTTTGAAATTATTGAACCTACAAGCCTACAATGGCCAGAGTTTCTGGCTACGCGCTCGACGGACGTGATGTTTGGCTCTTGTTGGCGTGAGGCGGCACGGGCTTTGTGTATAGTTCTCGTCAAAGAAAAGGACGGATCCATGCCCGTAGCCCCCATAAGCCGGAGACAACACTGGGTCCCCAGCTTTCTCGGGTCTATTTTAACCTTACTTTGAGATTGGCTTTTTTCCTTGCTTTTCCCGGAAGCATGTGAGCTGTTCTTCTCCTAAAGCCGGCTGCAAACTTCACCCGCCACCTTCTCCTGCCAACTTGTCGGGTGTTATTTCACCCTGGCAACTCCCCCCGCCAACTTTCCGAGAGTTACTTCCAGCTTCTCCTACCAAATTTTCGGGTGTCAGGTCACCATCAAAAAACTACAAGCTACTGTAGCTTTTCTTCAGGCCGGACGCAATCGAAGCGCACCCTGCGCTTGAGCTTGGCAACGTGTTGAAGCGCTCTCTGCGGCGCCGCGAATGTGTCTCGACTGCGGCGAACCCTCTGTGGAGATCGCAGGCCCACTCTCGCGGCGGCGCCGTCCGAATCTTGAGCCCAGCGGACGGCGAACCCTCTGCGAAGATCGTGGTGTCAAAGCGCTCCGTGGCACCGCGCCGCGCTTGAGCTCGGCGAGCGCTCTGCGGAGATCGTGCGTGTCAAAGCGCTCTCGCTGTTGCCCTTCTGCAGCGCAAAAAGCAAGTTTGGACAGCGCACTCTCGCACTTCCAGCTTGGAAGTCGCAACTCTAGAGCCAAAGCAGCGCCAGAAAGTACACTTCCATCGTCCGTGCAAGTGCTCCTGCAGGTAAGCCGCCAGTCTTCTTGTGCAGCCAAGCTGCGCACAGACAATGACAAGAGAGGTTGAGAAGAGCGCGGAGCATGATGATGCCCAAGAAAAAGCATCATGCGCAGCATCATGCGCAATATCACGCACAGCGTCGCGCGGAGCATCATGCGTCACACCACGCGTGCCATCATGCGCAGCTTCGCACGCATGATCGATTCACAGCACCGCGAAGGCATCATGCGCAGCATCAGCACAGCTTCGCGCAGCATCGGTTCGCAGCGTCGCGCGCAAGAGAAGTTGACAGTAGGCTGGCAGGGACATTGGCGTGTTTGCGTTTTTTGTTGCTCATCAGGCGGGGGTTTACGTTTCTCTCGTCCATCTTTTCTGTGGGGAAGCGGTAGCTTGGGCGTACTTTTCGGTTCCTGTCCAACCGAGGCGCTGCCTGCGCTCGCGGCTTCGGTGCGCGTGCGAAGCGCCGCTTACGAGGAGTTCCGCGCTGCATACGGCGCGGGGGGAGGGGGGGAGAGGGGAGACAGGGAGGAGGGGAGGAACAAAGAGCTGATATAAAGCAACAAAGGGCTTGTTCCTGAAAACCCCCTCCTTGGAGGGTTCAATTTTGTTTGTTAGGTAGGCTTGAAAACCTTAGGCAGGTTGATTCTCAAAGGGCGGTCCTGCAAGTTTCAGTCCTTGTGAAAGATCAAGCCTGCAAGCGCAGCTTCCAGACCCAGTTGTTCCGGGCAGTCTCCTTTTTGCAATTCCTTTGTTTTGTCGGGTTCGGGACGCCCACGAAAAAGGGTATTCAACCAACCACACAGCAATGGTTGCAATTATGTTTCTCTCGTTCGGGCCACCAACTCTTGCAACTGTGTCTTTTTTGAGGGGCCCTTTTCAGCTTGGCCTAAGAGAGCAAAAAGGAATCCTACACTCCCCCCATGCTTGTCACACCAATCAAAATGTTGGCACCATCTGATGAATGAGGGAACGGAGGACTCACAAACCAAAGACGTCACCAATTTTCTTGTGTCCTTGTGGGGAAAGAGTTCGTTTTGGCCAACTAGCTCGCTCTTCTCTGCAGGCCGCGGCAACACCTCAGATTTTGCCCAGCGCTTGGCCTTCTTCAACTCGAGGGCCGCGAAAGTGGCGGCGGTGAACGGGCGGAAAAATAGCCCCTGGAAGGTGGGCGGACGGGGGGCGTGGGGGGGATGATGCCGACCGCGGAGTGCGAGAACCATATGGTGGCACCTGGGGTCCAATTGCGGTTTGCAGGGCGTGCCAAGATGTGCCAAGTCTGACCACGGGATGAATAAGCCATAGTAAGCCCTCAGAAGGATGTTATGTATCCGGTCTTTCTTACTCATGCAAAATGAAAGCCACACATGAAGTGCTTTCATGAAAGGGTGGGCTTGTGTCATTGCAACCACTACTGAGTTTAATTGTAATTGGATATAGCACTGCCTGTACAAGTTTACACAGGACTTGGGGCGTGTCTTTCGGAGAAAATTCGCGGGGAGACCACCCCGATCCTAACAACCACTCCAAACGCCGGAGACTTTGGGGCAGGCGGCCCTGAACGGCTTAGCGGACCTGAGCGACGCGGAGTTTCGGCGGCTCCTGGGCCACCGCCCAGCCAAGCGCAGCGCCGAGAGCTTCCTGCAGCTGCACAGCCCGAAGCCCAGGATCTCGTGTTGCGTCGTATCAAATCGCGCGCGCGGAAAAATCGAAGGGAGAGGCGCAGCGTGATGGATTTTTCGAGCTCCGATTTTCGACTGCTAGACTGAGTTCTGATCTTATAGCACTCAAAGATGCCGATCTGACAAGAAGTCGACTTGGGAGTCTGGCTCCGGCCAAGGACGTCCCTCGATTTCCGCCGAAGGTGCGTGTAACGGTGGAAATCCATTTTGTGTTCAAACTGACGCTGAGAAAGAGAAGGAGGAGGAGAGAGAGCGAGGGGGGAATCTCCCTTAAAGCAGCGAAAGAAAGAAAGAAAAGAAAAGAAACAAAAGACAGAAAAGAAAGAAAGAAAGAAAGAAAGACAGAAAGACAGAAAGACAGAAAGACAGAAAGACAGAAAGACAGAAAGAAAGAAAGAAAGAAAGAAAGAAAAGAAATAAAGAAAGAAAGAAAGAAAGACAGAAAGAACAAAAAGAAGGAAGGAAGGAAAGAAAGAAATGAAATGAAAGAAAGAAAGAAAGAGTCAGTCATGGATCCTTTTTGGACCCTATTCAAAAGCAAAGCTAGATGAGACTAGGGTGCTAGAAGTAACAGAGTCCTTGTTGTTCCAGTGTTGAGGCGGTGTGAGGCGCTCCGACTTTGGCCACACACGCCTGCGGCAGCTGACTGATGAGCTGCTGAAGTGGGGGGGCTTGGCATGCGTGAAGAAAGGGTTCAGGTCGTTGTTCTTAGTTAAGACGTTGTTTTTTGGGTTCGTCAGTTTAGGCGTGCTCTTGGTCAAGTTAGGTGTCCTGTTGATGGTTCTTGTTGGATAGGACAATTCCGCTGGTTTCGGTTTGGTTCCAATCGTTTACAACTCAGTGCCATGTTTGTTGTAAAAGGACATCTAGGAAAGGGCGTGGTTTGCTTGTTTGGGCCATTGCTTCAAGAGCGATTCTACATGGGCTTGTTTCTTGAGGGTAGAAGGGTGTGGTCTCTAACCATCTTTGGGCAAATCAAATTTCAAAGGGTCTTACTTTAAATGATGCAACTGGGTGGGGAAAGCAAATGCCCCTGTTCGTGTCAAAATCGATGACCCCGCCCCTCAATTTTCTTCCTCAAGTCGCAAGCTGGTCCGAGGCTCCATGTTCTATCATGCGGCATTGGTTTTTCTATGCAGTTTTTGTCCCAGCCCGCACCAACGAAGTCTCTCTGCTTGCTCTGGCGGATAGGAAACGGTCGAGTGACCACTTCGGCGGCTTGCCCCCGTTTTTTTTTTTTTGTGTGTGTGTGTGTGCGTGTTTGTTTGGTCTGGCTGATGGGTCGTGTTTCCGGGCAGCGAACACGGGCCTTTTGAGACAGGGCCTGTTTGGGTTTGAGGCTGGCAGGGCGGGAGCCCCGAGCACCACTGCCCGGCCTGCCGGTGGCCCTCGACTGGCGGGGTGGGAGTCTGTCTGCGACCCTTGGGATCTACCAGAAAACATCTATTTCATTTTTGGAGCTTGTCCACATATGGTTTATTTGTCACGGAAAAAGGTTGAGCGAAAGGGTGGCTTAGGGAGTTCGGCTTGAATTGTGGATGGCACTGGTCTCAGTTGGTCCTCATCGTGTGCATTGATGGGCTACGGAAAGGATTCGGATGCTTTCGTGGTCAATCAGCAGTGATTGCTTTACCTTCAGCACCAGGTTTGCCGGCAACGGGGGCGTCCGGTCCAAACCCCTACCCATGCTTGTATGGATTGTTCTCCAGCGTGACCAGCGCCTTGGAGTATTAAGCCCCACTACATCCCAGGCGACGGGCCCCCCAACCCGCCTCCCGGCCCCCCTGGTTCCAGTCAATAGTCATGGTGACACAACCCCTCATCCCGGCATCGAACAGGAACTATGCTAGCAAGTGGTGGCGTATGACGGGCGACCCGAAGTGCCCATCATACGAGCGGTGAGTTCCGCCAAACTCGGGAGGCGGTCGGCGGTGAACGGCAGCGGTCGGATTCGGGAACAGGGCGCCTGTGGCTCCTGCTGGGCCGCAGCGGCGGCAGGGGCGCTGGAGCTGCACGTCGCTCGCTCTGTGGGTCGTGCGTTCGGGGTATCTGATGCGTGCCCTTGGAATTAGAGGTGCCTCAGGCGCCTCCTCAAGGCAAAAGCCCAGGGTTGTTTGCACTTCGTGAAATTTGGAAGCCCAGGCTGAGATCTACGGGAAGAAGGCCCCCCAGGAGCTGTCGGTGAAGCAGCTGCTGGCAGCTTGGCCTGGTGACAACCTGTTGGGTTTGCTTGTTGCAGCAATGGCCGCCTTTCTCAGAAGAAGACCCGTTTGATGATTCAAGTAAAATGGCCACGATTGGCTGTTTCTGGCCAGAGGGCGACCCAAGCAATTGGAGACTAGCCGTAGTTCCAATGTGCAGGCTTTGGTCAGACTACGAAGTTGTAGATGCCATACCCTCACTGGTTGAAGAGCTGCAGTTTCAATTTCCCAAGTTTCCCTTGGACTGTGCCGAGGATTGCGTGGACAACCCCCGGCACTGTGGGGGCAAGGGCGGCTGCAGCGGGGCCAGTGCAGAACTCGCCTTCCAGCAGCCTGCCTTTTATGCCACGGGTGAATCGGAACGTGTTTGCTCATAAGGGACTGTCAGGAAAAAACACACACCAGCATAGACCCCAGATAGCAGTGCTTGCACACCAGCACCTCCAAAAGCGCCCCAAGCAAACCCGGCTTTCAATCGAGTAAAAATGCGCCCGACCATCACCCTGAAGAGCACCCCAAACAGCACCCCCGAAGACACCCAGCGGTCAATCTTGCAAAACCAACCAGCACCCCAAACAGAATCCCAAGCCACCAACCAAGCTGCATGCCCCCCCTTGCACCCTACCGTCAAGATGCAACCATGCGCCTGCACCGTCACCTGCATGCCCAATAGCACCCGAGCGTCAATATCGCAAAAATGCGCCAGCACCTCAAACAGCTCCCCTCAAACTGCGTCCCACAGCACCATCAGCACCAGCCCCCCAAACTGCATTCCCCCCTGCATCACCCCAAAACAGCACCTGCACAAGCACCCCCAAATTGCATGCCCCCTAGCACCCTACCGTCAATCTTGAAAAGATGCGCCCACACTGCTATCAGCACCTCAAACAACACCACAATCAGCACCTACACCGGCACCCCAAACTGCACGCCCCCTAGCACCAGCCCATCAATCTCGCAAATCACTTTCCCCTCTGCATTAGAAGTTGGAACCCCTATAGCTCTCAGCTACCTGGGGAACAATTTCCTGTGGGTTTGGACAAGCAGATGCGTGACTGCAGGAAATTGAGCGATGTCAACCCATGTTCCCTTTGAGTTTGGGAAAGCAGGTGGATGGAAGGAGCCCACCCCTGCCTCGGTAAGGATTCACGTGCACGTTTTGGGATGGTGTTTTCCCTCCCCAGGCTCTTGACTTGGCGGCTGGCTTGTGATTGTCTCACAGTATATTGTCTTAGTTTGCAGCCTCTCAAGCTCGTTGGCTTTCGGCCTACCTTTTCGCCTTTGGCTGAACTCCGCGTTTCCGCTGGAAAGCCGCCGCATATTTTTGTTTGACCCGATATCGCCAAGTGCCAAACCTGTGAACCTGTGGTCAACAATTGCCCGCACAACCCTTCTTCAGGATGGCAGTTTTTTGCAAACTCGCATCATTTCCATCTGAATACTGAAGACGTGGCTTGGGGTTGCTGCGAACATGTTGGGTGCTGGCGTCCAGGACTACTTACTTTGCTTGACATCGGGGCGGAGGGGTTCCAAAACGCTGCATGTCGGAAACCAAGGAAGGATACCTTGTCAGTTGCCACGTTTCTAGTTAGTGTACTTGCAGTAAGTTGGGCAAATGATAGTGGCCTTGCCGCCAGCTTTGCGACCTCACCCACGACTTCACCTGTGATGCAGCTTTCTGGAAGGATCCCTGATATTCGGCTGGCAAATGACATTTCTAGTCCTGGAGTCTGGAAAAGCTCGGAACCACGGCAGCAGGTATGTCAGCAAATATGGCCTCAGCTCCCACGCAGCCTATGGGGGCGATGCTGAGCGGGAGGATGCGTGCGCGGCCGGCGTGGCTGGGCGGCCTCATGTCCAGCTGGCAGGCGGGGCCAGAGGTTTTGGGAGCCCGAGGCCCGAGCCCAAAGATCCAGCCCCTGACGGAACCACATACCCCCTGAGAATTTGGGTCAGGGTGGCTTGTGTTCGCTTGGAAGTAGGGCGCTGGTGCCCAGGCTTCGCGCACCTTCCGAGCAACAATCTGCACTCGGTCTTGCAGGCCCTCACGCAGAAAGGCCAGGGCAAACTCCAGACATGGAGGTTGAGTGCGTGGCACTTGCGGAGTGCTTACCCCGGAGGGAGAAAGGCATGGGGGTGTTCTCTACAAAAAAAATGGCATGATCTTTTCTAAAATAACATCCCCCCAAAAAAGGAAGCGCGCACAAACACAGAATGTTTTCAAGGTGTGCCAGTTTCAAAGGACGACATGAAGGCACGTTGGTGGCAATTGCTTTCTGGTGGCTTTGTTTGCGGTGTACCGTACGTTCTCTCAACAATTTGGATGGTGAGGCCTTGGATTCCATGGATTGCACTCTGAAAGGGGAAGCTAGAGATGGAGTCGGCATCCCAGCGCTGCTAAATCGGAGGACCGTTGGTGGTGGGTGTGGATGCGTCACGCTGGGATATCTATGGCAGCGGGGTCTTTGACGGCTGCGACCAGGATGCCACGATCAACCATGCTGCTCCCTGCTTAGGGTTGCTGTCTCCTAAATGCGTCATTTTGCTTGTCGATGTGACGCCACGCCATGCACATAGTACATGTAAGCAATGGACCGTCGTCACCCCTAGCCTCCGAAGAACCCACTTCATGCTGGTGTCGTTTAAAAAGGGTGGCAAGGTTGCTTTCCCAGTAATTGCAGCAAAGGCAAGTGGCAGTTTGCAAAGCGCGAGCGGGTCACCAGACCTTAAGGTGCTGCTGGTTGGCTGCTTTGCTGGAAGCTAGCGCTCCGTTACAGCTGTGTTCCAGGGCGTTGTACCCTTCAGGTGCCCCAAATTGTCCCCAGTGGGCGCGGTGTAGCAATAGTATAGGAGAGTGAACTTTGAGGCGCGACAATGACACTGTCAATGGAGTATGCTTTGGGATGTGTGCGTGTATGTGTGTTTGATTCCTGCTTCTGGCAGCTGCGCGGAAACAGTCCACAGGAAGCTATCTTAGGCTATGGCCAGGATCCCTTCTTCGGCCATCGCTTCTGGCTTATCCGCAACTCCTGGGGAAAGGCGGGCGCGGATGCCAAAGTTGCACACGGGGAACCTGAGGTGGCCACAAAAGGGTGTTGCAGCGATTGGGGGCGTTCCCCATGTATGGACAAGCCGCATTGCCTTGCGGGCCTTTGTCCTGAAAGTGGGGTGGGGGGGTGGGGGGGGGGAACATGCAAACTGGAAACAAGCACTAAAGTTGCCTTTTTCCAGCTTCTGCTGGCCTATGAAGATGGTAGCTGTAGACAGGGCTTATACTTAGCCGGCGCATCACGGTAGAGCTGTGCCTGGTGATTTCAGTCACTTCAGACATTCAGGGGAGCAACCTAGAAGGCTTGAGGCCTTTGAATGGAAAGGGCCATGGACCCCAATGGGCCACAGGCTGATGCCTCCACATAGAAGCATGTGTGGCTGGATTTGCTGCAGGGTTGGGGCGAAGATGGCTACATGCGGCTGCTACGCCACGATCATGACGCTGGGCAAGACACTTCAGCGCTGGCCACGTTTTTTTTTTTGGTCTCCTGAGGCGACTTCAGTAGTTTTCAGTTGCTACGAATCAAAAGCTTCGCGGGATCAAGCCATTGCAAGGTGTACCTAACGCACCATGTAAGTGCAGGAAATGTGGACATCAACTCATTTTAGCATTCAACACGCCCCCTTAGTGGTTGGAGGGGCAGCCCTAGTCTTTTTCAGACTTACCGAACCTGGCTAGTGCAAGCAGGTCTTGTGTTTGCACAACTTTTGGCTTGCCTGCATTGAGCGACCATGTCTTGTGCTTGCACAACTTTAAGCTGTGGACGCAACGGGCTTGGTGCCAATTGGCCAACATGAAGCGATTTCTTGAGGAGGCAAGGGATTCTTTGCCCTTTGCCGGGAGCTGAATAGCCCCAAGCGCTGCGACTTGCCTAAAAGGAAGCCAAAAGCCGATGGGCTTGCGCTCCATTGGTTTGGCAGATTTAACAACCCCACCTGTGTTCAGACAGCTCGGTTTCCAGGCCAAAGTCCATCAAGTTGGGGTGGCTGTTGTGGGGTTAGAGGGCTGGTCCTGGACCCGTCCCTCATGGGATTTGGACAGATGTCGCAAGGGCTCATGCTAAGACAACCGTGATCATGCCCCAAGACTCCACGACACCTACCTGGGCAACCGGAAGGTAGCAGAAGGCGTCCCCAACCAGAAACAGTCAGCGTGCCGATGTGTTTTGATACCTTTGTCGGTTTGGAATTGGAGAGTACTGTGAAGAAACCATGGAAACCATTCTTTGTTAGTATTTACAGGGGGATCCTCATTCCGGGTTTTCTTCGGGACTTGCGAAGTGGATTTCGTCCATCGGTATGAGTTTTGACTGGCATCCATCAGTGAGGACCGGGGCTCCGAAGGCTTCTGTGGCACGGACCAGAACCCGCAGGAGGGCGTGTGGTGCGAGGGGGGTGCCAAGGAGGTGCCCGCATCTCGGCCCGACCTTGGAACTGGAGCCTTGGATCTGGGAAATATGAATAGGCAGTGAGCGGACTTTGAGGCAATAGGTGTTTTTTTCCCCTCAGGTAGCAGGCAGCGCATTCAACGTGGAAGCACGTGTGTATTGTCGCTGGAGATTTACGTCACTCATGGTTGAGGTTGGTTGTTGCTGGAAGTTGGGAGAGCACTTTGCAACCACTTGGACTAGCTGAACTTGACCAAAAAGGTGGCCACCCTCTTATTCGTTTGGCCGTGCTTGTTGACCTTTTGGGGGGTCTGCTGCAGCTCCCAGATTAGCAGTGCTGGAGTTTGCGGGCGTTGTTGGCTGCGCATTTGTTCAATAGCACGCTCGCGTGAAGGGGAAGGTGTCGCACATCATGAAGGTTCAGCTGGGAGTGCTTGTTCCTCCGGATGCGTTGGGCTTCTTCCCAAAACAAGTGGTCGCTCTTGGAGTTGGGGCCCTTGGGGTGAGTGGTGGCCTAGACTCTTGGACTTGTGGACAAAATGTACTAGGATGGCAATTGCTTGCCTGAGGTCTGCGGCATGTGCGGCATCCTGTCAGACGCCACCTATCCGGAACATGTCACAATAGCTCCTCGGCATTCAGAGGCATTGCAGCGGTCATTGCCAATCTGGTGAAAGAGAGGATGGGCGCATCCATCATATCTTACCGTTCTTGGTGTGTCTTTTTGTCTAGCTTAAGCCTTTGGTTGTTTGCATTTTGGGTTGTGTTCATCTTGAGTGGGCAGCAAGAATCATTCATGTTGCTAGAAGTCATGTTTAATTGGGCTTGAGGCCTTCTGCCGGGATTCGACCTGAGGTGCCGGAATGACGGACGGAGGGCTCAGGAAGCCAATCGCACGCTGGCATTTGGCGAGAAATGTGCCGTCAGCTTTGTGCACTTGCGCGTGAAGAGCTGGAGAGGTTGGGTCCTTTTGGGACTCGGGAAACCACAAAACTCCATTATATAATATCCCCCAGAAGTTGTAAGGTTGCTCTTTGCACTTTTTCGGGAGGCCTCTTTGTGTTCAACCAAGTTTGGGGAACAAAAGGCGAAGATTCAGCGGACACACCTCGTTGCGCTGAGGCCGCTCGCGCGCCTAGCGGGGCGGCCAAGGATTTGTAGTTGGAATAAATGTGGCGTTTGAGGGCAGGATGCCACCGCTTGCGCGATCGGTCTGGGAAATCGTCCTAAAATGCCAGGCAATCAGCCCAGACTTCACACAATTCGCGTAAGCAAGGCCATGTGCCCCGAGGACAACCGTTTTCGGCCCAGTTAAAGGGTCCCAACACATGGGAAAGCGACCTTACGTTTTGGAAGGGCCGGGCTTCCGGCCTTGCGATTGGGAAGCGGGTGCAGTGTAAGGATTCCACCATGAATTCTGCATGCTTGGTCTGTGTGATTTTCCTTTTCACACGAACCAAAGGCGGGCCAACTCGATTTTTTTTTTCCTCTCTCTCTCTCTTTGTCTCTGTCTCCTTCTGGTTCTCATTCTCTTCTTTGCTCATTTTTCTCATCTTTCCTCTTGTTTCATCTTTTGCTCTTTCCGTTTCTCTTCGTTTCTCCTCTCTGCCCTCGAAGATGCGCAGGTGGCGATTTTGCTTCTGCTCCTCCTGGAGGCTGGCCGGGGTTCAGTGCAGCCTCTTTCTCAACTCCCCCAGGACTTTTGGAAGGGATTTCCTGATTTGCTCTGCGCCAAATTCGTGGAATGTGGCAGGTGAAGTTTTGGCCTCCTTCAGAAGACCATGCCACGATAAACTTTGACTTGGACTCTAACTCCTCAAGCTTCCCTGCTGTTTGGGAGTATGAATTCTGCATATGGAACATGACACCCTAGGTGGACATATCTTTCCACGTAAGACATGCCCGAAGTTGTCGTTATTACGTCTTTCTTTATCAGCGTAGCCCTCCATTTGCCCAGGCGCGGAGAGGTGACTGGAGCAGTGCCTTCATGAGGCTGTGGGCAGATGGGAAATTTTCGCCAGCGGTCTCTTGCCATCTTTTTCCCTGCTGTCCTAGATGCCTAAAGGAGAATACCGCACCTATAAGCCATGTATAAGGGGACGGAGTTGGGGGTGTACACTGAACCCCTGTACAACCTTTGAATATTCCATTTAAAGCCACCCCCCGCGTGTCCTTTGAAGTATTGATTTTTGTTCGTTTGGGATTGATCCGGGGCTGCGGGGTGTGAAGGATACGAAGGTAAGAGATGGAATTGGTACTGGTAGCCGGTTGTTTCAGATTGAAGCACGCCTGCTGCTAGATACTGACCTCGGAGTGCAGTAGCCGGCTTTTGTTTAAGTTCAAGGCGGTTTCTTTTGCTTGGTGAGATGCCTAGTTTTGGTTCCTCGTCCTGCTGGGTGCTTTTTTTTCGCATGTCGCTTGCCCGTTGCCTGCCATCGATGGCAGGTTTTTTTTTTTTCTCTGAGTCGCTGGTACCCGTTCCTTCCAAGGACTGGTTGGAAGCAATCCGCTTCCTTTGGGGTTTCGTGTTCAAAGCTTTGGCTTGCGGTTTCCGTGGGAATCTCCCGGATGTTTGCTGAAGGCTGGCTCGGCCGTGCGGCCCTGAGCTTTGCCAGCTTTGGCAGCTCGGAAATCCTTGGGCGGCATTGCGTGAGGGAGGAGTGGAGTGCACCTAAAAGGTGGTTTTACTCATGTGTCCCTGTAGTTATTAGTGGTACATGTTCGATGTGTCAAGCTGCGTGTGTGTGTGTGTGTGTGTGTGTGTGTGTGTGTGTGTGTTTCTGTAGTGTGTGTGTGTGTGTCTCTGTGTCTCTGTGTCTCTGTGTCTTTGTGTCGCTGTGTCGCTGTGTCACCGTGTCTCTGTGTCTCTGTGTCTCTGTGTCTGTGTGTCTGTGTGTGCGTGTGTGTGCTGTTATTCATGTATTTTTGTGCCTCAGAACTAGGACCAAGACCCAGCATGCTTCCAGAAGCCAGTCGGTCTTCAGTTGGCAGCGTTCCTGGTTTGCTGGTTTCTAATGCAGGGGGTGGGTGATTGAGCAAAATCATTTGTTTGCAGTTCAGGAATCCAGATTTCCGAGGCCCGTGGCAAAAACGGAGGAAGCGCCAACAATGCAGGCCGACAGTCTTGAATTTGAGAGCCAGAACGCCAGAACGCAGTTCTAAGTTTGAGGATAGGGAGAGGACGGAGAACGCGAGAGTTGGCTTTGGGTGGTGTGTTCACCTCCCCAAAGTTTGAACTGCTAAAGGTTCCTTGCTCGTTGCGTTGGGCCCTGCCAGGTCGACTACGTCATCGGCAATGTGTGGCGAAACGAGACGTGGCTGTGGCCTCGGGGTGCTGGGGTTCGATCGGCAATGCGAGGCGCCCGGCAAAAACCAACGGGCCAAGAGCGCCGAGTTGTGGAACCCCTGCAAAAATTCACCGCATGCGAGGCGCTGTTTGGGGAACGGACTGTGGGAGTCCAATGCAGGAAGAGAGCCATGGAGGTGGACGCCGCTAGCTTGAAGCCTGAGCAAGGCCTGAGTGAAGTTTTTGGGGCTGGCATTCTCTGAGCTGTTTCCTGGAATTGGGGTACTTGTGATGGGTATTGTTGTGATGGATTGCTGGGGCCTGGGGCCACACGGGGAGATGTTCCATGAGAACGATGCTGGAGCCGTTTGCTGCATTGTAGCCGCTTGGCTCGCTGATGCATCAAGCTTGAGTCGACAGTTGGATTGCCAGCATTCTCGGAGCTGCCGCAGCAACCGCAAGCGCTCCCCTGCGCTGACGCGCACAGCCCCAGACCCCTAGCAAAACCTAGCCCTGAAGAAGCAGCTCCCCGCGCCGTGTTGCCCCATGAAGCCGGCCGTGCACGCGCCCAGTGCTTGACTCCATGGCCACGGGCGCCATGGGCGCCGGGCTCGGCCGCGCCCGCGGCTTCCGCGGCTTCCGCGGCCTCCGCGGCGCTTTCCGGCTCGATGCCGCGCGGGGCATCACCTACACGCCCTCCATGGTGTCCATGGAGGCGCTTAGGGCAAGGCAGCCCCGGGAGCTCCTGCAGACCGACGTCTTCAGGACCAGAGTTTCGCAGGGCCAAAAGGCCAAACGACCTGAGGTTCTCAAAGTTGCTCTGGGCGGTTTCCCTCTTTCCCTCTTAACTACCAAACCTGGGAGGCAGCAATTCAGCGGCGGCATTACTTTTTTTAAATAAATATTTTTGTCATTATACCACGTTGCTTTGTCGTGGCGCGTGGTTTGCGGCTTGGGCGGTCCGAGTCGGGGGATTGGCTCAGGACGGTGCCGCCGGAGGACATGACGCCCATGGACCTCGCGGAGCTGGCCACCGCGCAGGTGGCCACCAACCCGGCCAAGGCCGGGAAGCGGCCGATGGTGTCAGGTCGGCCATGGTTCGAAGGGCGCCCCAAAGAAGAGCAGGCGACACCTTTGGGGGTGTCGTGCCCTGTTTTGACGCGCGCCAAATGGGGTTCCGACTTTGCCGTCGGTTTTGGAGGGGCCCCCTTCTGATGGAAAGGGTTGTCTTTTTTGCGAGGGCTTGTAACGAAACCAGTTTGTGAGGTTCCGCCACTTTGATGCACACCCAACAGGAAGACCATCCATTTTTCTCTTCAAGGGCCCTCCAGTCAGACTCCATGTCAATGTAGCGAGGGGAGAGGCCACCCGCGTTTCAGTTGCGGCTCTCAAAGGCTACGTGTGGGGGGACGTGGTGGGGACGAGAAAGAGGAACCCTTGCAAAGCCTCGACTTTTCAATCTGCACAAAATGGTGGCAGAATGGTTGCTCAAGTAAAAAGGGCTGAGCACCAATGATCTCTTTCCCCAATGAGGTTCCCGGAAGGCACTTCAGGCGTGTAGAAGAGAGCGATTGCCATGACTATCCCTTGAAGCGTTTCATTTCCATTTGGGAGTCCTCCCTTTTGTTTCGATCGGCCGAGGTATTGGAGGTCTACAAGCGTCATGCTCGAAGCGGCGGCTGCGACCCCGCAGTGGCCAGGATGCAGCTCCCGTTACTAAGATCGAGCTACGATTGGTCATGTTTGCCAGGCTTGCGCCGTTTAGGAACGAAGAAGCAGGGGCTGGTCTTCTTTGTTTGCCAAACCATTTGATGGCAACTTTCAAAAGGTGGTGCTGTGTGCTTCCAAGTCCTGGCAAATGTGTGATGGCAGTATCCTCCAAGTATTTTGACTGCAGGGAGCCTCACTCTTAAGCAGCTTTTTACAGCATTTCCTTTGTACACATATATTGTGGTCGCCTTTGCTCATTCCGTGCTTTTTGCAGGGGACAATATACTGTCAAGCCTGTTTTTCTTATTCTGCAGCTACCCCACCGGTTTATACGAAACACGATATGCGTACCCCCGGAACTGGGAAGGCATGTACTCAGCTCCGAAGTTGGGGCGGGGGCGGGGGGTAAGGGGGTATCGGAAGCCTGGCTTTTGTTGAGGCTACTCTTTTCACCGCCCAAAGGGACATTCCTTCATCTGAAGAGCTCTCCGAGCTCATGTGTTGGGGCTGTGAGCTGAGGTCCTGATCCGGGCGTTTGCGCAGCTGGGCTTTCTCTTTGACCCCAACTCCTTCTTCTCCAACTCGGATCGCCAGATCCTCACGAGGCACAGGACCTTCCGCAGCCTGGCCCATGACCTGTGGAAGGCGAGCGAAGGGCCAAAAGAATGATGAGAATGAGGTTGTTGGGCATGCAAAGCCAAAGTAACGCATGGTCACGCGAGAGTTGGAGAATGAGGCTTTTGGTAACCGTGCTAGAACCAACTTCCCTCGCACAGGACGCTCGGGTGGGCTCCATATAAGAAGGGAGGGTCACTTTTTGCGAAGGGAGTGTTTTCCCTCTGGCCAGCCAACCCAAAAACTGATGCGGGCAAGAGCCACCCAATTGAGCCCACCGTTAGAGGCTATGGCTCAATTTTTTCCACGGTAGTCCGCTGAATCTACAGTTCCTTGTCCAAATGCTTGGCGCTTTGTGGAAACTCACACGGGCACACTTGCACGAGCACAATTGAACGAGATTACTCGAACGAGCAAGCTTGCACGAGCGCACTTCCACATAGCAACTCTCGTAGAACGCTTGCACAGAGCAACTTTCGTAGAGCACTGTCTTTGCAGCGTGAGAGGCCGGCAGCGGCCCGTTTTCTCGTGGCAATCTGCTTGCCAATATAAGTGAGAATTGCGCAAAACAAGAATTCAGAGCCGCGCAAACTAAGTTCGAACCATGCCGGAACCATACCTGCGATTCATACCCCCTATGCCAACTTCCCGGCAAGGGCTCGTTAAAAAAACACACATGCCAACATTTCTCCAAATAGGAAGTGACGCCTAAGATTCCTTGTCCTTGTGGTTTTCCTTTGAAACAGTACACGAATAGGTCCACCATTTTGAGCACCGCCCCCCCCTGTCTCAAGTTTGCTTTCCATTTCGCGTAGGTCCGCGGGGAGCTTCCGCCCGCAGCCGCGCCGCTGCTTCTCTATGCGCCTCCGGTGGGTGGGTAGGGTGGGGTGGGGTGGGATTCAGGATCTGGAGTTTGTGTGTGTGTGTAACGATGTGTGTGTGTAACGATGTTCATCATGTTCAGCTCTTCTCAAAGCTCCGACCTCTGCCGAACTGAGTCCATGGCTTCGCTGGACTACCGCTGCGTGCCACTGCTGCCCACTCTCCTGGAATCGGTGGAGACCAACCTCAGGCTGGGGACGGGGTGGGAAGGTGCGTTTGTTTGTTTGTTTGTTTGTTTGTTTGTTTGTTTGTTTGTTTGTCCCCTTATGCTTCCACCAGTGTCAGACTAGCACGTTTTTACTTCCAACCCCCGCGATATTCCCTGGCCACGAGGTCCTGGCGCTTGGAGGCGCTGAGTTTGCTGCTGCACTCCTTGGCTTCCCTGGGCCTGGCGGAGGGCCCGGTGATCTTCGATACCCAGGACCAGAGGACGGGTGACAGGTGAGAGATGCGACAGGCGCGGAGCCAAGCGTACACCCAAAACAAAGGTTGATTTGGAACATTGGGGGAAAGCTGCAGGTGTTCCACATCTAACAAAGCTCAGTTGATCTGAAGATTGGTGGGAGAGATCGGGGCTGGCGGAGTGGGCCAGCTGGGGGTGGGATACATATTGAGCAGTTCCAGCCAGAGTTCGGCCCGCGGGCTGGCATTGGGCAAGATGGAAGCACATGAAGCGCAACCAAAAGGCACGGCCATTTCCATGTTTGCAGCTATTGAAGGGCTCCCAACGAAGCAGGGTACGCTTGCAACGAGTCGCCAGCCGCCAGGAAGGGACTCCTTAAAGCCTTTCCGCACCCAATCCTGAACTTTGAACAATTTGGGAACCACCTGCACCCTTTGTGGCAGAGGTATTGGTTTCAACATTCAACTAGGCAGCATCGCAAGATCCGGGCTTTGGCATCAATCACAAACCCAAGTCATATGGCGGATGGACGAAATCTGTTCGCACCACCGAGAAACCATGGTTGAATCCATTGCTTCTTGGGTATTTACCATGCGAATCAACTCATCCCAGGGTTTCGGATCGGTGCCTAAGCGGATTAGCAACATTTTGCGACCATCCACAGCAGAGCCACTTGCTGCAAGGAGCTCGGACTACGGCTCTTTGTGCCAGGCCCTGGCACTGGAGCTGGGCCGCAGGGCGGCTGACCAACAGCTGGGCCGTGACGGCGCGTGCCAGGACTGGGCGAGGGCAGCCTTCGCGGTGGCGCCTCGGTGGAAGCAACGCCTGGCCCCACACCCCGATTTTGACGGCCAGAATATGCCCCGTGTGGAAGTGCAAGGAACTCATTTTTCCAATTCCAAAAGGATGGCAATCAGTCTTGCAAGACAAGGTTGCGAACGTTGCACCTGGGAGAAGGCACCTTCCCGAGCAAGCTTAGTTTCCAGGTTATTTTGGTGTGCCCCTTGTGGTAGACGAGGAGCCTCCCACTCTGAAAAGTTTGCTTGTGCAAAAAGCCTTCGTTGTGAGACAGTTGTTTGGCTTGTCATCCTGTTTGCATTCGAGTCTTTACTTATGCAGCCTGCGATGGCCGTGCCCCATCCGTGGCGGCTCAAAAAGCTATGTCAATCATGTGGGCTCATGGCTGGGGATGTCTTTGCAAACTCCGTCTCTCTTTGTCTCTCTTTCTCTCTGTCTTTCTTTCTTGCCTGCTGATTGCTTCCTTGCCTCCGTGCGTCCTTGCTTCCTTGCTTCCTTGCTTCCTTCCTTGCTTCCCTCCCTCCCTCTCTGTCTCCCTCTCCCTCTCCCTCCCTCTACCTCTCCACTGCGTCTCTGTCTCTCTGTCTCTCTGTCTGTCTGTCTGTCTCTCTGTCTCTCTGTCTCTCTGTCTCTCTGCCTCTTTGCCTCTCTGCCTCTCTGCCTCGCTGCCTCTCTGCCTCGCTGTCTCTCTGTCTTGCTCTCTCTCCTCTCTCTCTCTCTCTCTCTCTCTCTCTCTCTCTCTCTCTCTCTCTCTCTCTCTCTCTCTCTCTCTCTCTCTCTGTCTCTCTCTCTCTCTCCGTTTCTCTCTGGCTGCCCCCCTCTCTTTGTGGCGGCTCTGTCGCTTTGCGGGTCTCAACGCTGGATTTGCCTACCGTCCAGGTCTTGAAAAGAAACGTGGCCAAAACCCGGTGTTCAACCAGGTCGCAAGGCCATGCGCAGAGGTCATGTCTGGGGACTACGACCTGGAAGAAGAGGGTCAGAAGGTTCTGCCACTCTTCATCGATCGCGCTTGCGAACAGCTGGAGCGGCTCAGACATAGATAGACTCTGGGGTATGAAAGCCACCTGCAGGGGGGGGGGAAGGGGCAACGGTGGCAGTGGTGGCGGACTAGTTCAAGCTTTCTACTGGTTACGCATTATCCACAAATGCTGCGGATGAGTCATGGTGAGTCGTGTGCAAACTGGTGCAAGCTCATGGGATTCTTTTCCACGAACAGCGCTGCCCGATTCATGGGGTTGACAGTGGAATGCATGGCACGTGCCATCCTTCCAATGAAACTATGAAAGGCTTCAGCTACTCCCCAGCGGCCACGCTTGCCAGAGTCTAGGCTTGAGGTGCTGAGTCTCCTTTCCACATGACTGGGAGAGCGTCTTGTTCTTGATGGTTCGGCAAGGTTTTAGATCCAGGGAAGCCAAAGGACAAACAATAATGTTAAACACCCCGGAGACAGCCCCAACCAGTTTTGCAAAAGAAATCCCCGCATTCCAAAGCCTCGTGTCAGAAGGACGGGTGATGTGTTACAGGAGTCTGGGCCGGAGATATGTTCAGAGATTCGGCTGAAAACGAAGCTGCAAGTGGTCAGCTGCATCAAAACAAGTTGGATTCTTGGGGCGGTTTGACAGGAAACCTGAAACCACCTCCCCAGTTTTCACACATTTGCCTTCCGCCTTACAGCTGAGTTCTAGCCAGCTGACCACCGCTTTCCCAAGCTGAGAGAGCCAAACATCAAACAGACGAAGGAGTCAAAGGAGTCGGCTGAGGAACAAGCTGGAGGTGGAAAACTCCGGCTGGGCCCAGTTCTTCCTATACCAAGTCCTCTATTGCGTGGACGTGGAGAAGCCGGCGTGTGAAGAGGCGGCGCCTGAGCAGCAAGGACCTAAGGAGACGGCGACTCTGGAGGTGTGCCGCGGAGACGGGTCTTTTAACCAAACCCTACAAAACGAACGCCCCAAAGAAGCATGGTGCAAACACAGACCAGTGCCCGCACGCTTTGCAATGCATACCTTTGGGATTCTGCCTTTGCAGCCCCGCTGAGATTTGCTGGCCGAGTTGTTTTTGTCCTGCTGCCATCCATGGCTCCTAACATATTCAGTTGTCCAAAGCGAATTGACCCTTTGACATCCTTTGACCTTTGGGTTTTCCCATGTTGGTCCATTGTTAGTAGCGGTGCCAAAAGGTTTAACTTTTCCTCGGTCCTTTGGGCCACTAAGTGAACCGATGTTTGTGTGCTTCAGGTGAAGCGGGCTATGCCCATGTGGATCCAGGAGCGGGCAGCTTTGTTTATTTCTCAGCGGGCCGCTGATTCCGCACGTCGGGTTGGAACTGCTGTGTGTTTTGATCTGAGAAAATTCAGAATGCACCAGGGGTTTGTCTCGTTAGCGGATAATCCATTTGCCTTGGGTGGGTTTGAAGTGGCCCATGATTCAGGCCAGTGTATAGGCTTGCTTGACTCATCTATTTGCCCACTTCTTCTTCGTGTTTTCAGACGTGCACATGCTGGGTGCATGAATTGAACCTGCCCAGGGGCAGCTGCCACAATTGATCCCCGCAGAGGCAGCCGCAAACCACGGTGACAGCTGGTTCCCACTTGCCTCACACCTGGGGCATCAATTGCAATGTTTTACCAGCGGATAGGCCAGAAAGACCACACCAATCAAGGGTAGCTCCGCTGCTGGTGGGGGGTTAGTTCATTCAGGGGGGATTGACCCCTCTGATTTGCATCCTCCAGATCAATGCGCAGTTCACATTGCCCACCTTTCACATATGGCTCTGCATGTCAATCGCAAACCCTTTGGTCGATGTCATGCGCACGGGGGTTTGCATCCACCAATTGTTTGAGGGTGTTTCCAAAGCCACATAGGACATTACTCGGCCATTTCTGCAACCAGCAGCGGTTATCAGAAAAGGTATCCAACTGAACTGTGCTCTTGACAAAACCATGGGCAATGTTATGTTATTTGAGGTAGTGACTGGCAATGGGGGTTAGCTAGGTCTGGTCTTTACAACCATGTGCGGGGGCCAAAGTTGCCTTAGACCTTCCCTCGCCCGTTGCTGACTACAGGGCCTTGTTCGGCCGCTGTGTTGGCCTGGGAAGCGGCTGCCCTTGCTGCAGCCCCGTCCCTGAGAAGACGTGGTTCCTGCACCGATGGGCTTTGCTTTGTGCCTCGCTTTCAGGGCGTGCAGTTGGGTGGCTGTTCCTCCAGTGCTGTCACCATGACTTTGTTCGTGCGCGCCGGGGCAACACTCAGCACCAGAACCTTCAAGAAGGAGAGAAGCCCCTTGAAGATCCGACCCTGGGAGCCTGGGGTGCTTGGACAGAGCCGCCGGAGTCTCTGAACCCTGCTGTGAGCGACAAGGTGCTTCTGAAGCTTCACTTGGCGAACGCTTTTAATGTTTTATTACTGTGAGCCGGGAAGAGGTCCACTTCAGTGCGGGCTGCGCAACTTATTCCCCTTGGCCCGGGTTGCTGTGGAAGCCCTGCAGCGCTCTTACTCTCTTACTGGCTTCGGGGCGGAGAGCCGCGTGTGCACCAGGTGGGCGAGAGCAGACACAGCAGCACAAAGCTGCGCGCCGACCGGCTTGATCGGCCAGCTGCTCCTCGCAGAAGCCCGTCCAAGATCAGCTCGCGCTGGCGCAGGCCAGAGTCAGCAGCGCGCCGAGCCTTTTGCCAGGATAGCGCGCCGTCGCCCCCAGACCATGAGTTCCAAGGGCCCTGCAGGACAGCGAACAGCAGGTGCCCTGCCACCAGTTGAATCTGCGGGCGATCTTCTTTTGAGGGCCGCCGACCGCGTCATGTGCCAGAAGCGGAGGGTAGGGCCAACCTTGGGCTTTGCCAGCTGGGCCAGGCAGCTGCACGCCGCCTTTTCGCCGAAGCTTTGCTCTCATGATGGACATTTGTGCGAAATAGACATGGGTTTCTCCTCGCCAGCGTGCTGCCTTGCGAGCTGGGCTCACATCTTTGCGCTGTCCTGCTTGGGGGAGGCTGTGTTTGCTTTCTCCGGTTGAGGGCGGTGGCAACTATCGTCCATAGCTGCAAGGGGCCAGGCTGCAGGGGAGAATCCTGGCGTGGAGGGTCTTGGGGCGCCCGAATGCAAGCGAAGTCTTTGTCGGGTCCTGCCCACTTTCGAACACATGCATTTGCCACCGTTTCCGAGGCGTTTTCCCCGAAGCGTTCTTTTTCTTGGAGCGTTGTTGCGCTGCCTGCACGCGCCCTGTCGGTGTCCGGGGCTTGGCTTTGCTTGAACCGCAAGTTGTGGCACTTGTCACTACCACACTCTAACACAGTGTGTTCGGGTATTTCTTGTCAGGCCCCTGGTGGTTTGGCCTTTAAGGACCCTACACCATTCCACACTGGGGCTTTCCCTTAGGTACATCACGGGAAGGACCAAACCAACACCTACAAACCAATCCATCTCTCACCCAACTGTAACGATTTAATGTTGACCCCATATAAATCAACTAATCAACCCGAGTTTATTAATAGGAGGTGGTCCGGTGTTCCCCTCCAAAGGTGGTCATTTCACCCAACATCCCCTAATAAACTGGCTGGTGACTTTTCGGGGTCCACATGCCCCACATTTCACCCAAGCACACCCCCTGAAAACATCCACTTGGATTTCACAAGCGCGCCCCACAAAAACACCCAAGCCCACCCAAAGAAGAACTCCACTGGTTGAGGTTTCCCTGTAGGATTTCCCAAGCGCGTAGGAGCTGCTGCACCACCGCTGGCTGGACAACATCGTGCTGTCCGCGCAGCCACAGGGCGCGGATGAGATGCAGCGGGACCTGGCGCTCATCTCAGGCCGAGAGAGTGAAACGCGGGAATTTCACTTGAGCGCGGAGGACTGCCAAAAGGACTGGGGGACCACGCAAGCGATCGGCTTCAGTTTTTCGACCCCCCGCCCCTGCCGCAACACCTTGGTGCATGCGTTTCCATTGGTTTGCTAGCCATCGGCTTCGCTTAGGATCGTTGCCTGCAGCGCACCAACACCCAGGCGCCAGAGGGGCGAGTCAGAGGCTGTTCAATGAGGGTGTGGCCCTGGAAGCCAAAGTTGGGTTCAATGTTGACCCCATACTAAGCAACCCCAGTTTATTAAGAGGGGGGTGTCTTTGGGTGTAGTGGGGAATCATCACTTTTGGAGGGGAGCACCCCCCTATTGATACACTGGGGTTGGTTAATATGGGGTCAACATTCCCCCTGCCAGCTTTGAATTTTGATGGGAGTATTGTTTGGGACGACAACAGTTGAAAGCATGAAGGGGTGATATGCTGGGCCAGGTGAGATGGAATAAAGAATGGCTGGAGCAAGCCAACATCCGGCGCCCAACTGGATCGTTGTTGGGTTGGCACGAGGAGTGTAGGCAACATTTGGATGTAGCTAATTCTGCCCACGAGGTACCTGGAGCAAAAGACTGTGACATTTCAGCAATGTGGCTGGTTTTTTTGCAGTTTGCCAGGGCTGCACTTATAGCATGGGCCTGGTGAGGCGCTGCTGAACTGCTCCTTTGGCCGCGACTGGGACGAGCAGCATTGCTGGTTCGCAGGCTTTTTGATGGAGCCGAAGGCGGGTTTCTCGCCGTATTCCGGGTGGTCCCAAGAATGGGCGCCAAGCAGTGTATATTGCTGTAGCAGTAGCGGTTAGCAGCCCTCGATTAAACCAGGACAACTTGCAAGCCACCACAAACCACAGCCCACAAACACCCACAACTCACAACTCACAACGACAAAATGTCCCAGAGCAGCCCTCTTCGTGCCAATGCCCTCCATGTTTTATCAGCCACAGGCCAGGCATCCAAGGTAGCTGTCGGCCTTTGAAGACGCATCCACGGGAAAGGGGCAGACCCGTGAGCCATCAGCCTTGGCAGGTCGCGCTGGAGTGTGACAGCATGCTTCCACTGGGCGTTGGACGGCCAAAACCTTCAGGATGGTTGGCCCTGAAGAGCCGCATCGCGCGAAAGGTGGGGCTCGGGTTCCCGAGGTTGTTTTCCAGGCGGTTGGGCCTGAAGCGTTTACCATGGGAACAGGGAGATCCACAGATTCCGGTTTATCGTTCGGCGCTTTTTCAGTGAGTATCCTGTTTGCGGTGTCTACCCCAAGGTTGGCTTGCGGGTGGTCACGCTGCACGACTGCTTCTGGCGACATCTCACGGAGGATCAAAAAGATGAGCAAATGCTTCGGATCCGGCTTCAGGCCACTGATCTGCAGATTTAGTTTGTTAGCCGGTGTCACAAGAAGGCACGGCCCTTTAGCATCCTTTAGCCCGTTTGATCTCCAATTATTTGCCTCGTGTGAGCCGTAGGGGTGTTGACGTGTTTGAGGGGGAAGAAGAGTAAGCTCAGCTTGACCCATACATGTACCAATGTCAAAGGCAGTTCCCCGTTGCTCACACACACATTTAGAAGTATGCATACTATGATTCATACACACGCATACACACACATATATATATATATGTATATATATATGTGTGTGTGTGTGCGCGTGTGTATGGATGTATGGCGTACGCCCTCAGAAAGCCGCAGCACTCGGTGGGATCGGCCATCATTTCCGCTTGAAGCACACATACGGACGGATGAGAACCGTCAAGTTCCTTGCTCAGGTGGGATATCGCCACAACAAAGACCTGGAACAGCAGCGGAAGAAGATCCGACAGACACCGCAGCTTGGCTTTTTGGAGGTGGATGCCAGTTCAAAGGTCTTCCGTCTTTTTGCTGCCCAGGCATCCCAACGTTAACAGGAGCGCTTCTGGGAAGCCCGGCACCATAGGGTCTCCTTAAAGGCCAAGCCATATTGCCAGGCCATATTTTTTTCCGACCGACTGGGCGCGCTCGGATTTTTCTCCTACGTGTGGAGCAGAAAAGCCCAATACTTGTTGAGTAAGCTAGCAAACAATGATGGAAGGTCCAGGACGAGAATCACGCATATCAATTCATAGGGCGTTAAAAATGAGGCTGTTTCGGTTGAGAGGAAGCCGGTGTTCGGGGGAAAAACATCCTGCCAGGCACACCTACAAGGGCCTGGAAAGCAAGCGTAAGGAGTGGGCTCCGCAGCCAGGGCCGGCCTCGGATGAGAGAGCCTTCACTTAGGGCGCAGAACAAAAAGGGCGGAGCCTGCGGTGTCTGCGGTGTGCTCATTTGGGGTCGACGAGTTTGACACTTTCAACTTAAACAGATATGGGGTCAAAAATGAAACACCGGGAATTGCAGGTTTTCGTCCTTTAGCTCAGAGAATTCCCGCTTCTTTCCGGTCCCAGCATTAAACTAACCCTGCAAAACCCAGAAAATGGAACTTGGCAACCTGGCATTCTACTGACTCCCTTTCCCACAGCTGGACCTTTGGGTTCTGTTGGTACAGCCGGGCTATTGATTTTACAGCCATACTCGCCACTGCCGGAGAAACACATCCCGTAATCCACTGGGTCACTAGGCCACTTTCGGGGCGGCCCTCCAGGTGATGATTCCCGGGTGCCGGCGCCTGATTCTGGTGAAAGCGCCAATTCGAACCCATGACTAGAAGCCCCAGATTGTTAGTTTGGATTGGTGGCCTGGGCATTTGAAACTCATGAGGTTGCAGGAATTGAAGGGCGAGGTGCCCTTGTTGGTTGGAGCAAGCCAGGTTGCTGCTGTAGGGGCGAGCCAGTAGCAACACTTGGCATGTTGTCAGGGATGGCTCAAGCTAAGTCGCCCACACTTTCGCCCCCGCAAGTCCGAACAAGTTTTTCAGGAGCAACTGGGACGATTTGGGGATTTCTTACCGGCGATGACATGCATTTGTCTCCATCCCCGCTTTTGCAAGATTCTTTAATTTGACGGCTTTGGGGGTCACAAACTCGGGTCATTTCCTTTGCACATACCACTAGGGGATGCCAGTTTTACCAAGTCCTCGTTTCCGTGTTTGCCCCAGCCAAGCCTCCCTCTTAGCTCAGCGCAGTTGCTTTGGTCTCGAAGGCATTTCGCTTGGCTGTTCCCTGCCAATGGGGCATTTGCAAGAAGGTGGAACCGCAAGACGTTGGGTTGTCAGCATGGAATAGTACTGGCGGGGTTGGCCTCCCTTGTTGAACAAAAACACACACACACAAGGCGATCCTGGGGATCCCCCCCTCATCCTCTCTTTCCCGTTTTAGGCCACCATTGATTGCAGTCTGTTTGGCAGGGACACCAAGCTTTGGGCTCCCGAGACGAAACGATGCCTGGATCGATCCTGAGGCGGAAGCTGTTGGTACCGCTGCGGCTCGCTGACATCCATTTCCTTCGGTGGCCCAGCCCATCCACCATGGGCATCAAAACCACTTTGGGTAGGGGATATGATATGCAGCAGTGTCAGTTCATTCACCACGCATAGCATGGCATTTTGCCTACCCTTTGCGTTGCGGCTCCATTAGCGGGCTCCTTCTGCTGAAAGGCCACTTTGCAGTGGCGATCGTGACATGAAGATGCGAGCTGGCGGAAAGGAAAACAAGGAGCAGCGGCCACTGACACTGGCCGAGATGGATGATGGACGCGGGCGCGGCGGAGGAACTCTTGGTCCGGAGTGGTGCGCTTTGGTGGGGGTCTAGAAGATAAAGATGAGGAGAGCCGGGGGGTCCGGAGTCAGCGTCGAAGAAGCAGAAATCACAATCCAGGGCGGTGTGGACGGGCACGGGACTACTTGATGAGCTTCAGCTCCTTCTGCTGCTCTGACCACTAGGCAGGTTCAGCCCGCCGGTCACTCCATCCACCCGTGCTAGAAAATTCCGTCGGTCTCATCCCGTTCTCCTCCTTGTTAAGCCTGCCGTGAAGGACTTCCTCCCAAATGCTCTTCCTCCGCCATGGAAACCACAACCACGACTACTGGAACTGCGAGCGCAGCTCAAAAGCAGGCGCAGCCTTCCCACTGAACTTTTTGCAACCACAGGACTGGAGCCAGATGCTGCAGTGGCACGTCCTGACCTTGAGAGATATGGCGTCCTTTGGGGAGCTGGACAACACGATGATAATCGACGCGAGGTCGGCGACACTGCCTCCAGCAGCGAGCGTGACAGAGAACCACGCTGCTCTTGAACGTGATGACCAACATCCCTGCGCAGCACAGTTGTGGAAATGCGTGAGCTGCGGAACGCGCGCTTTGATCTGGAGCTCATCAGAACAAGGAGGTGGACATTCAGCCGGGCATGGCGGCCAAGGAGGACATTTCCTGGGTCAAGCCACACGCGAGGCTGGAAGTGGAAAACAAGGAGCAGCGGCATTCAGCCGCTGAGAAAGCCATTTAGATTCTCGGCTTTGGTTCAGCGACGGCCGCTTGCGCAGGATGACCCATGTTCTAAGAAATTTTCTGCTTCAGCAGTTTGCAGTGTGACTGCGCAGCCCAGGCAGGAAGGGCTCGTTCATGGCGGGCAATCGCGCAGCCTGCCACCGATTCTGGCTCACAGTAGTGGAATCCGGCGTGGCACGTGGGCAATTACTCACGCGTTTTTAACATCCAAGCAAGGGCATTGAGAAGGCCAATCCAAAAGCCGAGCACGTTGAGAGAACTGATGCTTGACTGGGGGTGGGGGGTGCTTTATTTCTGCTGTTAGATCTAGTGTAGAAGTTGCGCGTTCATTGATCAGGTGTCATGCTGGTTTGGGGCCTGTCAGCAATAGGGGGCTTGCTCATGGGGCCGCTTACTTGATGAAAGTTCCAGATTTGAATTGGGCGATGACTTCGAGAACGGCGATGTAAGGCCGGGTGGTTTGCATTGTCGTCGCGTGAGCTGTTTGGGTTGCGGCTCTTTGTGGCTGGGCTTTAAGAGGAAGGCCGCCGTAATACGAGACACCACTCGCCAGCCAGGTCACGCAGCCCCCGTAGCAGGGGCCTTGTCACTCCTCGGTAGTCCGCAAATTGTTGTGGCAGCGTTGCCCATGCCCTCTTGTGGCGAAAGTGCGTGCAAACCAAGGGACAGGCAAAATGCTTGGCACGCGTGAAGTGACACGCTTTGCCCAATTTTGGCCCAGAGCTGGCCTTGCCAAGAGTTGCCTTTGTGTGCCCAGCGGTGTTAACCACCTCGGCTGCCAAGATGTTCACGTTTCGGCCTGGTTAGGGTTGGCATTGGCTTCGATTAGGCTTAGTTTCGGGGGTTTGTCGGTTTAGGGCTTAGGCTTGGTGCGGGGATCGTGCTTGCCGAAGAGCTCTCGCTGTGACGGCTTGCGACTTTGCAAGCCCTCTGCGGGGATCGTGCGTGTCGAAGCACTCTCGTTGTGGCGCAGTGCCTTCAATTCGCTGGATGGCACCTCTGCGAGGGTCGCCCGTGTCGCAGCGATCTGCCGTGCGCGGTTGCGAAGTGCTCTTTCTAGAGCTTGCTTTGAGCTCAGATAGCTCAGACAACTTGCTCAGAGAAGCTTAATTACTCTGCTCACGTGCTCAGAGAACTTGCTCAGATCTTGCCCAGAGAAGCTGGCCCAGGCAACCCGCTTAGAAAAACATCTCAGAGAACCTGCCGGAACTTGCCCACACTGACTTTCTCAGAGACATCTGCTTAGAGGGAACTTGCTTGAAGAGCGATTGCTCAGTGTCAGAGAACTTGGTCAAGAAACTTGTTCGGAGATGCTTTCTCAGACAAATTTGCTCGAAAAGCAGAGGGCTTCCTCAGAGAACTTGCTCAGTGGACTTGTGCAGAGCAACTTGCTCTGGAAATCTTGCCCGTTTAACCAGTAGCGAACACTTGCGCAGAGGAACTTGATCAGACAACTTACTTTGTCTACAACTTCGTCAAATGTGCTTTCGCAAGTGCCGTGTGCCTCTGATGCGGTCAGCGATTGGCCCTTCCAACGGCTTCGGCTGGCCAGAGGGTGAGGTTGCAGCAGGCTACTTGGGGCTTTAAAGTCATGCGTGTTGTGGTTGAGGCATACTTGTGAAGAAGTGGCCCCTTTGAGTCTTAGGCGCCCTGAAATCTCAAGCTTACCGGGCTAAAAGGCCACGTGGGACAAATTGCGGCGGTTGATGAAGAGGCTTGGAGCCTTCGCAGAAGCTCAAGCGGAATGCCTGCACCACCAAGACCAAGGCCGGCAGAATCACCCGACCTGTAACCTACACTGTGCTATGATTTGATTGCATGCCCATGTGCTCATGATTTGCTTGCTTGGGCAACATGTGTCATTCTACTGGTAGAAGTGTTCGGCGGGTAGAAGTGTCTGCGTTACGCATCCTGGTCAATTGCCATTTCAACCTTGAAAATTTGTTTGTTTGGTGGGGTTCTTTTGAAGCAGCAACAGTTTACCGCTGAGTCGATGCAATTCGTGCAGAGACATGCGGAGTGCAGGACTGCGAGCGACCAGGGCCACAGACATATATATATATATGTATATATGTTGAATACATATATATATAATAATAAATGTATTTAAGCATATATATATGTAAAGGGTTGTGTGTGTATGGTTGCTTTGCATATTTGGTGGTGGGCAGTGTTCCCGGAAGTGGTGCATTGTACGCTGGCGGCGCAGCCATTGCCGTTCTGTGTTGAAGCTGTGGCCGTTGTCGTTTTTTTGGTGTCTTAGTAGCGGATAACTGCGTCATTTAGTGATGTCCCACTGCGGTTGTCCTGATCCTTTCACATGGTTCCACGATCCTGCTGTATGGTTTGCAGGCACCGTTCGTACAAGTACGAGGGTTGGCAATACGACACCACCACAGCATGCCAGGCTTGCTGAAAGGGCAACATGTTTGATAGCTTATTTTCTATTGATCGCCAGCTTACTTTTCGCGTCTCCTTCCTGAGTGAGTGGATCCTAGATCCTTCTGGAGAGCACGGCTTCATGAGACATTCACTATTCCTGAGTGCTTGTTTGTTCAATGTTGACCTTGAGATTCCTGAATGACAAAGGCACAGAATATTGCCACTGGAGAACCGCTGGAACTGTTGAGGATCGGCTGAGTGGAAACTTTTGCTCGCCTGAGATGAATGGTTGTGAGCCTGGGCGGATCCAAATGATGCGGGCAGGGTAGACAGCACATGGCGATACGCTGTTTCGACCGTGAATGTCTCAACTCGCACAACATCATCATCATCATCATCATCATCATCATCATCATCATCATCATCATCATCATCATCATCATCATCATCATCTTCTCATAATCTTCAACGACAGCAACATTTGCTAGTGAGTAGATCCCGCTGCGTGTCAGGAGCCGCAGCTCCCGGCTCAGCAGTGAAGCCGCAACAGTGGGCCTCAAGATGGGGCACAAAGGCTGTGGGTATTTTAATGTTGTTCTGTGGGTCCAGTCAAGTGCCGACTTCCAACAATCAAGGTGTCAAAGGGAAGGGATTCCCTTTGTTCCCTCTGCTTTGCTCAATCCTCAGTTCCCTTTTTTGGGTTTTCTGTTTTGTTGAATCCTCTGTTCCCTCTGTTCCCTCTGCTCTGTTCCATGGGACGCCTTTGCAAGTTCTCGAGAGGACCAGCAGGAACCGCGAGCCCAGGCTAGGCGCCTGATCCTACTTCACCTCGGCCAATGGGAGCTGGCGCGTGAGCCCAAGCAGAAAACGATTCATGGTTCTGTCATGTGTAAGTATATTCATATTCATATATATATATATGTATTTATTGTAGTATTATATGCACATATGCCTATGTCACCATACAGAGAGATTTCATCGTGCAACATGTTTCTCTCTGGATCCAGCAGATTTGACTCCAGTCTTGAGCCGCGGTCGGGCTGTGTCATCACTGTTTGTACGTTTGTGGGGTGCTGACCCACTAGAGCTTGCATAGACTCATACCGTCCCCGCCCAGTGTCACTAAAGGACAATGGGGGCAAATCAGAGGGAAAGCAACGCACTCCAGCCACAAAGTAGATTGTAGAATCTTGTGACAGGAAATAAAGTATCCTCGCCAATCATCACGCACCATTCCTAGATTAGGGCATCGTATTTTAGAGTGAGTACTTGCACGCATTGTTTTGCCTGGCTTGAGAGGTGGTACTGGGTCGCGGTAACAAGCAGGTCATGATTGCTCGTTGGTGAGGCGTTGTTCTTTTTCTTTCCAATGGGCTTATCCCTGCCGTCGCAAAGTGTAGGGTTTCCGCTTTGCCATCCCTTTTTAGAGTTGGTAGGGTTGGGCATCGGATTTGGGTCAGTTTCACGCTGGCGAGGTAGCTTTCTCGTGCTGCATCTCCTGTGTTCTTCGGGGAGTGTTGGTTAGTAGGGAGGTTCGAATCCAAAATGCAAAGCACAGCAAGAACAGTGGAGTGCATGAAATGTTTCTTCTTTTTTAGTCGTTCAGCATCACAGCGCTGCCCTGCATCCACGAGGGTTCCAGCACCCGTATATGCGAACGGACGTCAGAATATCTCGACTCAGGGAGATGAGAGCTTGCCAACTGATTGCAAGTGGAAACACATCCGCTCTCGAAAGAGTTTGGGCACCTTTGGGGCCAAGACAGGCATCACTTGCCCATGGCTCCAGGACTGGGTCCGTGAGCACCTCCAGAAGTACCAGGATCCGGCACGATCCCATTGGCCAAATGAGAGGGGTGTCATGCAGTGAGGTAGCCCCAGAGGGAATGTTGTTTCCCTTTATTGTTCTATGGCGGGCGCAATCCGCAATCTCATGCTACAAATGGCTGCGGAGCGCTGAAGAAATCGCAGCTTGCTCCTAAGTGCCAATACAAAAACATGCTGACAGGAACATGAGGCGGCTGACAGCGAGGTCACTAGAGCATGGCGTCCCGCTGCGAAGGGCTGGGACCTGTGTTGAGACCAAAGGATGGTCACAGACATGCTGTTGAGTTGCTCACCTGTCGCTGTTTGCTTTGCGGACGGGAGGAAGGTTTCAAGAGGGTTTCTCGGGCTGACCGGGCTCAAGCAGATGATTCGATGCCATGAGCCAGAAAGCCTTCATAGGGGAACAGTGTAGTAAGATTGACTTCTAGGGCACAGCTGGCACATGCTTCATTGTGCCAAATTGTGCCAACATATTGTCCCAATATGTTGCTTCATGTTGCTTCATCAGTAAGGTGTTGTATGCCTTTCACGTCAGCTTAAGACAACCAAGCGAGTAGCCCGTTTCAGTAAGCTTTTCAGGAAAGGAGTTCCTTTCATACGCGCCATGGTGAGCGGTGATGGCCTGTTGACATTTGGCAAGCACGCCGGACGGACTTTTTCACAAATTCTCCGAGAAGAAAAGAAATACGCCCAATGGGCTGTGAAGGAGTTGTGCGAGTCCCACATACCCAACGCGCGGGCCTTTGCCTCGTACTGCATGGAGAAAGGCATTGGTGGGGCACTCCAAAATATGTCCCAGGAGTTTCAGCTAGTCGCCGTCCCTGGCCCATCACAAGAGGAGCCGGAGCATGCGTGTGAAAAGTGTGGGTCAAGTTGCCTGGAAAGCTGGATGGTTCGCTGCCATCCCTGTTTCAAAGAGCATTGTGTGCGCTTGGACACTGATTTTTACCTAAGATGCCCCTTCGAAGAGAAAGACGAAGCGAAGGCACGCGGAGGTATAAAATTTGATTGGGATGCTAAGAAATGGTACGTTCCAGCAGGTCTAAACATTTCCTTGTGGGAAAGATGGCACGTATGTTGCGAGAATTGCCACGAATCGATTTCCAACGATGACGCTGTGACCGCGATGGAGCGACAAAGAAAGCCGGTGACGTGTCCCGGCGGAGAGTGTGCGCCAGAACTGCGGGCTCGGATTGAGAAGGAACGTCTAGAACGAGAAACCGAGGAACGTTCCAAGAACAAGGCAAAGTTTCTGGAGAGGCAGAAGGAGGAATTCTGGCGATTCCTGAAGAAATCGTGCACAAGCATTGAGCAGGCCATGCAGGCGAAGAACGAAGAAGCACAAGAGAAGCTGGAAGCGGCGGGACCGCCCAGTGGATCGCCAGCGAAGCGGCGGAGGACTTCAGGCCGCAGAAAGGAGTTCATCTTCATGCCCTTCCCGAATTTTGTCCAGGGTAGTTTGCTGGCACACCTCAAGAGCGAAAGGGGCCAGGTGACCTACAACCCTTTTCAGGAGGACGAATTGGAGTCGATGCAGCCAAAAGCGGCCAGGTGGATTCAGAGCATTGGGACCAACCGTTTCAAGAAGAAATCGTCGCAATTTGTGCTGGCCCTGGAGTACACTCCGGAACAGCTTTTGTCATTCGGTGCAACATTCCATGCTTCCAGCCTTTTCGACCATTGGGCTGTGGCAACCGGGAACATTCAGAAGATGGAGGAGTTTCTGACGCATTCCTTGCAGCAAACGCTGGATTCTGCCACTCCAGATGTGGTGGCTTTGGTGCAGCAGGAGCTGCGTTCGCGGTATGGCACGCATTGTCCCGATGTCGAGGGGATCTTCGGGTCGCAGATCTTCCCCCGCTGCCGTGCTGACTTGGGGGCGCAGTGGGAGAAGATGTCACGAGAGCAGAAGGTCCTTAGAGGAATCTTTGAGTACATGGAGCATCGCAAGGTCTACGATGCATCTACGGGCGAGACAGAGCAAACGACCTTCATGCGCGACGTGATGACGCAAGTGATCGAGGCCTTTCAGGAGAAGGGTCCGAATGTCCTCGACTTTGAGCAGGACCCCGCGGGGTCCGACAGGCTCTACTTCAATCCTGCGAAGCCACTCACTTATGTTCTACTGGCTCATCCCAACACCAAGGCTGTTGACTTGTTTTCTCTCAAAGGCTTACCAGCAAAGCAGAAAGGCAAGAGCAAGGGCACAAGTGCTGCCAGTCAGCCAGGTCCCGCACACGAGGATTGTTGCAAGAGGATTTTCGCTGCGTTCAGGCGGATGCACTGGCGCATAGTGCGGGAGATTCGCGCCGGCAGGTTTGCTGTGTACGGTGTCGACCAGGGGCTGCGCAAGGCGGATCGTGACAAGCGATTCCTGGAATTCAAAGCACAGCACAAAGGCCTTCACAAAGAGTTGAAGAGGTTGTCCACCACGTGCCCGACTGCCCTGCGAGACTGGGTTGGCTTTGAGGGAAAGAAGTTGCATTCAAACTCGGAGTTGGTACCTGTGGTCTTTGAGAACTGGCTTGGACTGGACAAGAAGCTGGTGGCACGAGTTCGCGCAGATGCAGAAAAGAAAGTAACAGGCATTGCCAAAAACCTTTCAAAGACACAAGCGAAGCTGAAGAAGAGACTGGTCAAGAGCGGCATCAAGATCCGCGACCTTGAATGAAGCAAACAAGCACGGACAGGCGTGTGCCGACGCGCATGGACATGCGTGTGCAAAATGCGCATGGAACTGATGCGTTTGTGCACGCCGAATCCAGCATGACGGAAAAAGTATCCTGCAAAGCTGCCAGCTCTATCTAAGGTGTTCATCGTGTGACCGTGTGAGAAATGTAATGAACATGGAGGCCTATAAGTGTTATACACATTCTGTTCAGCTGAACATTCTCACCAAATGTGGGCTTTAACAGATGAATTCGCCATTGGGGTAGCACAGCAACCAACTTGCCGAGCGCCTTTGTGCCCCACACAGGACCCGTACAGCGTGAGCTCCCAGTTCATCGAGGACCGGGCAAGTGGGTTTCCAGCCTGAAGCCTGATTGAAGACACTGAGTATTGTTCAGCAACGCCACGTGCAGTGTGGGAGTGAAACAGCTGGGGGTGAGGGCGCAGTGGTTGGATTGACTCGGGGAAGGGCTGAAGGGCTTGAACACAGCCATGCAAGGCTCCGCCTTCGATTCTATCAGGTGCCATGTCAGTACTGTTATTAACTACTGCATTTAAGATTGCAGGCCTGCGAAATGTTCAATCTTCATGTGGTGTTTGTGTTTGCCTGTGCGTGCTTGCCTGCGGGCCTGCGCGCCTGCGCACCTGCGTGCCTGCGAGCCTGCGTGCCTGCGTGCGTGCATGCGTGTGCGTGCGTGCCTGTGCGTGCGTGCGTTTGTGAGTGAGTGTGTGTGTGTGTGTGTGTGTGTGTGTGTGTTTGTTTGTTTGTTTGCTTGCTTGCTTGCTTGCTTGCTTGCTTGCTTGCTTGTTTGCTTCGTTGGTTGTTTGGTTGCTTGCTTGCTTGTTTGTTTGTTTGTTTGTTTGTTTGTTTGTGTGTGTACTTGAGCAAGTGCACGGGCATTTCCAGTGCATTTACTTGTCAATGACTACTTTTTATGCCGCTCCCACGTAGCAGGGTGGCTGCCACCGAAGACACCGCACCTGCTCGAGTCTCTCCTGGGTCCTTGCGAGGGCAGCTGGAGGACTCGCCCCAAGTAAAAGGTTCCCTCTTTGCACGCCGAAGTATTGTTGTGTTTAATTGAATGGCATGTGGCAAAGCCAGAAACCTCTTGCTGCATGGTATGGGGCTAAGCAAAAATACCTCCCCAAACAACATGTAAACATCTCAAAATCAAAGGATGCCAAATCCGCGCCAATTTTGGCACTTTTGGCACACTTGGCACACGCGGTATACGTTCAGTTTTCGATTGCAACATGTTATGATCTGAACATTTTCTGGATGAGATCACGGCATGGCAGTCCTTGGAGGACCTAGTTCGTTTAACTTGTGTTTTTCTTTCGCGTATTTCGCTTGTCTCATCAGAGTCTCAACTTCCATGATTGAATCCAGAAGGGATTGCAGGGAATCCTCCGCTTTGCTACATGGCATGAGGCATGACGGAGACATCATGTCCCAACCAACAGTGTTTGGCAATCCAGATTGCGTTCCCTCAAGCCAGTTACGAGCTTGAGCTTCCCCAGTGCGTGCGTGTGTGTGTGTGTGCGCGTGTGCGTGCGTGTTTGTGTTTATATGCTTGTGCGTGTGTGTTTGCGGGTGTTTGTTTGTGTTTGTGCCGCTCTCAAGAGCTGCTTCGTGAACTGCAGCCATGTTTTAACTTTGTCTTGAGGTAGTTCCCTTTCTTAAGCTCTATGGATGTGGGTGCGAATGTGTTGGTTTCGGAATCCTTGCTTGCTCGGACGGCTTGGTGCGACCAGGCAGCACCTGAAGCTGCAGTCGGTGTTGCTCGAATCCGCGGCTTTGCGGAAGGATGCGGGCAGGCGGGGAACTCGTTCAAGCGGAGACGTTACGGCTTGGAACGTGCAGCCCCGTGTGGCTCCTTTTTTTGTTCTACGCATGCTTTCTTCGGCATTGTGTTGACAGGCGTGTTGGCCTGTCACTCGTGCCCAGCCACTAGCAGAAAAGTGTTGAGGTGAATGAGGCGGACGTCCTTTTGGTTTTGTCTTGGAGGATATGCGGAATTCCGAAGCAGTTTAGCCCAGTGTTTTTTGCACATATCCCAGGAGGCCAAGGACAAGGCATCCGCGTGCAATGTCGCAGTTGTGTTATGAGAACACGTTCCTCACGGTGAAGGACCGCATTCGAGCAGGACCCCGCTCGAAGAGCATGGACTTGCCCAGGGCCTCAGCTTTGCAAGACTGTCCGGAGGTGCTCTACGTCGCCACCCTCGAGCAGAAGGCCTGGCAGACTCCCGTGGAAGGGGTGCACATTCCAGCAGAGGCAGTGGCAGTCGCAGGAGCAGCGGAAGCGACCCACATGGACGAAGCAGCGGCGCCAGCAGAGGCAGTGGCAGTCCCGCCAGCGGAAGCGGAAGCGACCCACCCAGGCAAAGCAGCGGTGGCAGCGGAGGCAGTGGCAGTCCCGGCAGCGGCAGCGACGCACACAGACGATGCAGCGGCGGCAGCGGTCCTCGTGCTTGACGAGACCAAGTCCTTTGGCAGTGCTGGGCACCCACAGCTTTGCAACAAGCCGTGCCTTTTCCTGCGCCTTGGAGAGTGCCCCCATGGCGCAGAGTGCAGGTTCTGCCACCTTCCGCACCCCAACCCTGCCAAGCTGGACAAGAGGATGCGCGAGACGATGCGGGGTTTGCCCCCGGCAGAGGTCCTTGCCCTGCTTTTGCCCCACCTGCGAGTCAAGAATGTGACTGGAGCTGGCCGCCTTCTTGCAGAGATGGAAGCCCGCCTGGCCGCTCTGCCACACGTCAGCTGCTCCATGCTGCCTCCAAGGATCGTCCAGCTGAAGCGGGCCTTGGGTCGCCTCAGCTTCCGCCAGTTGATGTTGCTGTCGCCTGAAGGCACGCATGCGCAAGCAGAGCTGGAGCATTTGCGAAGGCCAGTTGCGTAGGGCTGCCTCGCTCTGGGGATGCTTGGGGTAACTCCAGGCTTGGACCTCAATGGCTACTCTTTGTCTGAAAGCAGAGCTAGCGTGAACTGACATCGGCCATCCACTCAAAGTAAGCCAAGCTTAACTTCATGCGGACTCCCGCTGTTGTTTGCTTGTACTGGCCTGGAGTTGCCCAAGCAACAGCTAGAAATTACTAGTTCTGTGGTGCTGGAGTCGGAGCCTAGCAAAACATGTTCTTTGGGTCATTGAATGAATTGGAATGATACAGTGGCAACTTGTGTGTTGAGACTGTTTCATGGCTGGACAGCATTGGAAATGGCAATCGTCACACCCTCGCATATAGTCGCATGCAATGACCAGAGGGTGTTCACAACGATGCGTTGACGGTTTGTTTGTCGCAAGGGTCGGGACCAGGGATTTGGGGGCGGGGTGCATCGGCGGCATATCGAGGGCTTATTTGGAAGTTTGCGCGAGGTTTGCTGCATTTGCATCGATTTACTTTTGTTTCTTTGGTTGCTGTCGGTTTCCCAGATCCTTGGCAACTCCCATACGGCACTTAGAGTTGTGTTGCGAGGCGAAAGCCAGCCGAACTAAGATTCCCATCCAGCGACAGAACTTACTGCCAGTGCAAGTTTCAAGCCTAGCTGGGCTGTTTAAATGCCCTTACTTCCAGGCTATGCAAAAGGAACCCCTTTGCAGAGAAGTTTTCCAATCATAAACTGAAGGACCCTCCGTTTATTTGAGCAGCCCAGCACTCGCCCCAGCGTGGCCTAGTCCGCGCTCAGACTGGCACCCTGTGAAAAGACCTGTGAAAGGCGAGAGAAAGAGGGAGATGGACGATGGATGCATGTGACATACTTGCGTCTTTTCGCCCATTCCGAGTCGAGAAGAAGTGTTCTTCCAAGATCCCTGAACAAAGCTTGGCTTTCAAATCATGATGTGCTGTTCCCACTGCAGACTTTACATGGCACACATCGATGAGGCTAGGCTGGATGATGAACATTTCTGAACGTTGCCCGAGTGTTTGTTTCATGGCCTAGGTAGCAGCTTCCGCCAAATTTCCTGAGATGTGTACGTAGCTTAGCTGAGAAAGCGGGGATGTTTTGAAGAAGCTAGGCCCAGTGCAGAGGTTTGCCCGGTCCAGCTATCCTATAGATGGTTTCGTTGTAATTGTGTGCAAGGAATCCAGGAGCTTGCATCTTGGCGATTTCGTATGATACTGGCAAGTTGCGCATGAAGCCTGTGTCTTGTCGGGTGGGAAACTGCACTTATCACATCTTACATGCAGGGACAAGAGGGTTTTGACAACGATAGGTTGACAATATGCAGCTTCTCTGTCTTGACCAGGGATTTCGGGGCGGAGCCTCTGATCATTGCGAGCCCCACAGGGCATGTAGATATTTTGTTGCGGGTCGAAAGCCAGCCGAAGCTCTCAGCGGCGACACAACTTGCTGCCAGTACAAGTTTCAAGCCTAGCTGGGCTGTTTGAAGGCATCCTGACGTCCATCGGGTTGTGAAAAGGGTCCCCGTGACGCCACCGTTTCTTGAACAGCCCAGCACTCGCCCCAGCGTGGCCTAGTCCGCGCTCAGACTGGCACCCCGTGCAAAGACCTGTGAAAGGCGAGAGAAAGAGGGAGACGGACGATGGATGCATGTGACATACTTGCGTCTTTTCGCCCATTCCGAGTCAGCAGAAGTGTTCTTCCAAGATCCTTGAACAAAGCTTGGCTTTCAAATCATGATGTGCTGTTCTCACTGCCTATCCTATAGATGGTTTCGTTGTAATTGTGTGCAAGGAATCCAGGAGCTTGCATCTTGGCGATTTCGTATGATACTGGCAAGTTGCGCATGAAGCCTGTGTCTTGTCGGGTGGGAAACTGCACTAATCACATCTTACATGCAGGGACAAGAGGGTTTTGACAACGATAGGTTGACAATATGCGGCTTCTCTGTCTTGACCAGGGATTTCGGGGCGGAGCCTCTGATCATTGGCGAGCCCCACGGGGCATGTAGATGTTTTGTTGCGGGTCGAAAGCCAGCCGAAGCTCTCAGCGGCGACACAACTTGCTGCCAGTACAAGTTTCAAGCCTAGCTGGGCTGTTTGAAGGCATCCTGACGTCCATCGGGTTGTGAAAAGGGTCCCCGTGACGCCACCGTTTCTTGAACAGCCCAGCACTCGCCCCAGCGTGGCCTAGTCCGCGCTCAGACTGGCACCCCGTGCAAAGACCCGTGAAAGGCGAGAGAAAGAGGGAGATGGACGATGGATGCATGTGACATACTTGCGTCTTTTCGCCCATTCCGAGTCAGAAGAAGTGTTCTTCCAAGATCCTTGAACAAAGCTTGGCTTTCAAATCATGATGTGCTGTTCTCACTGCAGACTTTACATGGCACACATCGACGAGGCTAGGCCGGACGATGAACATTTCTGAACGTTGCCCGAGTGTTTGTTTCATGGCCTAGGTGGTAGCTTCCGCCAAATTTCCTTAGATGTGTGCGTAGCTTAGCTGAGAAAGCGGGGATGTTTTGAAGAAGCTAGGCCCAGTGCAGAGGTTTGCCCGCTATAGATGGTTTCGTTGTAATTGTGTGCAAGGAATCCAGGAGCTTGCATCTTGGCGATTTCGTATGATACTGGCAAGTTGCGCATGAAGCCTGTGTCTTGTCGGGTGGGAAACTGCACTAATCACATCTTACATGCAGGGACAAGAGGGTTTTGACAACGATAGGTTGACAATATGCAGCTTCTCTGTCTTGACCAGGGATTTCGGGGCGGAGCCTCTGATCATTGGCGAGCCCCACAGGGCATGTAGATTTTTTGTTGCGGGTCGAAAGCCAGCCGAAGCTCTCAGCGGCGACACAACTTGCTGCCAGTACAAGTTTCAAGTCTAGCTGGGCTGTTTGAAGGCATCCTGACGTCCATCGGGTTGTGAAAAGGGTCCCCGTGACGCCTCCGTTTGCTGAGCAGCCCAGCACTCGCCCCAGCGTGGCCTAGTCCTCGCTCAGACTGGCACACCGTGCAAAGACCTGTGAAAGGCGAGAGAAAGAGGGAGATGGACGATGGATGCATGTGACATACTTGCGTCTTTTCGCCCATTCCGAGTCGAGAAGAAGTGTTCTTCCAAGATCCTTGAACAAAGCTTGGCTTTCAAATCATGATGTGCTGTTCTCACTGCAGACTTTACTTTAGAGCCTCCGGCTCAGTCCGCCGACATTGTCCTCTCCCTTTTCTCCTTCGTCCTCTCTCCCTTGTCTCCCTTGTGTGTTCTGTCGTCCTTTCTTCCTCCCTCTGCTCCCCATCCCCCCCATCCCCCCAAGTATGCATGTATGTATGTATGTACCCTACTCTCGTATGTATGTATGTATGTATGTATGTATGTATGTATGTATGTATGTATGTATGTAATGTAATGTATGTATGTATGTATGTATGTATGTATGTATGTATGTATGTATGTATGTAATGTAATGTATGTAATGTAATGTATGTATGTAATGTAATGTATGTATGTATGTATGTATGTATGTATGTATGTATGTAATGTAATGTATGTATGTATGTAATGTATGTATGTATGTAATGTATGTATGTAATGTATGTATGTATGTATGTATGTATGTATGTATGTATGTATGTATGTATGTATGTATGTATGTATGTATGTATGTATGTATGTATGTATGTATGTAATGTATGTATGTATGTATGTATGTATGTATGTATGTATGTATGTATGTATGTATGTATGTATGTATGTATGTATGTATGTATGTATGTATGTATGTATGTATGTATGTATGTATGTATGTATGTATGTAATGTATGTATGTATGTATGTATGTATGTATGTATGTATGTATGTATGTATGTATGTATGTATGTATGTATGTATGTATGCATGCATGTATGTATGTATGTATGTATGTATGTATGTATGTATGTATGTATGTATGTATGTATGTATGTATGTATGTATGTATGTATGTATGTATGTATGTATGTATGTATGTAATGTATGTAATGTATGTATGTATGTATGTATGTATGTATGTATGTATGTATGTATGTATGTATGTATGTATGTATGTATGTATGTATGTATGTATGTATGTATGTATGTATGTATGTATGTATATATGTATGTATGTAATGTATGTATGTATGTATGTATGTATGTATGTATGTATGTATGTATGTATGTATGTATGTATGTATGTATGTATGTATGTATGTATGTATGTATGTATGTATGTATGTATGTATGTATGTATGTATGTATGTATGTAATGTATGTATGTAATGTATGTATGTATGTATGTATGTATGTATGTATGTATGTATGTATGTATGTATGTATGTATGTATGTATGTATGTATGTAATGTAATGTAATGTATGTATGTATGTATGTATGTATGTATGTATGTATGTATGTAATGTATGTATGTATGTATGTATGTATGTATGTAATGTAATGTATGTATGTATGTAATGTAATGTAATGTAATGTATGTATGTATGTATGTATGTATGTATGTATGTATGTATGTATGTATGTATGTAATGTATGTATGTAATGTAATGTAATGTAATGTAATGTATGTAATGTACAATGTATGTTATGTATGTTAGTATGTAATGTCTGTATGTATGTATGTATGTATATATGTTTGTAATGTATGTAATGTAATGTAATGTAATGTAATGTAATGTAATGTAATGTATGTATGTATGTATGTAATGTATGTATGTATGTAATGTATGTATGTATGTATGTACGTACGTACGTATGTATGTAGGTATGTATGTAGTGCATGTAATGTATGCATGCATGTATGTAGTGTATTGTATGTATGTATGTAATGTATGTATGTATGTATGTATGTATGTATGCATATATGTATGTATGAAATGTAGTGTATGTATGTATGTATGTATGTATGTATGTATGTATGTATGTATGTATGTATGTATGTATGTATGTATGTATGTATGTATGTATGTAT